TTTTCCATCAATTGATTGCTTCAGTATTTTTTATTTGGTGTAAGCCTTTAAACCCTTGCTCTTGAGTGCTTTTCTGACAAAGAAACAACTAGGTTTGAACTTTTTAACAAGATCTCTTTGGGATTGACATGGGTTACTTGTAATTGACTTATTGACTGAATTCACTTTGTTTTTGTTGACAAATTCATTGTCTTTTTTTTCTTCTGATAGGTTGAGATTTCTAGTATTGCCTTATGTCTCCTACTGATGATTTAGTGACTTATAAATTTTTCATTTTTTGACTATGAGTAAGTTCGATTTTGATTGAAAATTTCTGAAACTTATTTCCGATTATTCAATGGTTTACTCATTTTGGACAGATAAACTTATAGTATTGTTAGAATATATGTATATATATTATATATATATATATATATATATATATATATATATATATATATATATATATATATATATATATATATATATATATATACATATATATATATATATATATATATATATATATATATATATATATATATATATATATATATATATTAACATCTTCGCTTCCAACAAGGCTGCAAGCAACCACTGATTAGTGTTGGAAGTTACTGGAAGAGAAAAGATGAAGATTGTAGAGCAAGATAACGATTGACAGACGACTTAAGAGATTGCAAGATATATGAATCAGGAAAGCAAGATGGAGGAAATGAATTCCAAAGAACTGATGTTCGAGGAAAAAAATTAGACAAATAAGAGTTTTTGGAGCACTTAGGAACAGTAACAGAAAAAGGATGAGACTTAATTGAATGACGAGTAAACACGAGAATGAATTTTAGTAGATGGCACAAGAGACGCTAGCTCTTTAGAGCAGTGCCCATTATAGTATTTGTAGAAAAGAGAAAGAGAAGCAACATTACGATGATGTGACAAAGGTTGGCTTCAAGAGCAGGTCCAACTATGTTTATAATGCCTTTTTGCACCTTGTCTAAAAGAGTAAGGGCATCATTAGAAGATCCGCCCCAGATATGGCAACAGTATTCCATACAAGGTCGGATTTGAGATTTATAGAGATAGAGAATAGAATCCAGAGTAAGAAAGTGTCGAGCTCGATAAAGAGATAGAACTTTAGCAGATGCTAATTTTGCAACGGATTTGATATATGGTTTCCAAGAAAGATCAGAAGTAAGAGTTAATCCTAGAAGATGAAGGTTAGACAACTCATCAAGCACATTACTGTTCATAAATATAGGAAGGTCTCTCAATTAAAGAGTCTTATCTGAATTAAAGTTCACCAGCCACTGTGAGCCCCGTGTATGTGAGCCCCATATATATATATATATATATATATATATATATATATATATATATATATATATATATAGAATGTCAAAAAAACTTTAAAATTATGTTGTTAAATATTTCTCTAATTATTGCTAAGTATATCTGACAGGAATGTACTGAGTTTAACTGATATACTTATATGCATATATGTATTTTATATATATATATATATATATATATATATATATATATATATATATATATATATATATATATATATATATATATATATATATATATATATATATATATATATATATATACACTCTCTGATTGCTTGGAGGGGGTATCTGAGCTTGAAAAGGATCTCACTTCTGCTACAGCATGGGGCTCACAGTGGCTGGTGAACTTTAATTCAGATAAAACTCAATTTTATTCAGCCAATCGTTATCGTAATAATTTAGATCTTCCTATATTTATGAATGGTAATGTACTAGATGAGTCATCTACCATTCATCTTCTAGGATTAACTCTTACTTCTGATCTTTCTTTTAAACCGTATATCAAATCCATTGCAAAATTAGCATCTGCTAAGGTTGCATCTCTTTATCGAGCTCGACACTTTCTTACTCCAGATTCTATTCTCTATCTCTATAAATCTCAAATCCGTCCCTGTATGGAATACTGTTGCCATATCTGGGGCGGATCTTCTAATGATGCTCTTTCTCTTTTAGACAAGGTGCAAAAACGAATTGTAAACATAGTTGGACCTGCTCTGGCAGCCAATCTCCAACCTTTGTCACATCGTCGTAATGTTGCTTCTCTTTCTCTTTTCTACAAATACTATAATGGGCACTGCTCTAAAGAGCTAGCGTCCCTTGTGCCATCTACTAAAATTCATTCTCGTGTTACTCGCCATTCAATTAAGTCTCATCCTTTTTCTGTGACTGTTCCTAAGTGCTTCAAAAACTCTTATTCTTCTAGTTTTTTTCCTCGAACATCAGTTCTTTGGAATTCGCTTCCTTCATCTTGCTTTCCTGACTCATATAATTTGCAATCTTTTAAGTCATCAGTCAATCGTTATCTTGCTCTACAGATTTAGTCTTTTCTCTTCCAGTAACTTCCAACTCTTATAGTGGTTGCTTGCAGCCTTGTTGGAAGTGAAGATGTTAAAAAAAAAAAAAAAAAAAAAAAAAATATATATATATAAATATATATATATATATATACACACACGCGCGCACACAGAGGTACTAAAAATGTTAATGTATATCTTTTAGTTACCATTTTAAATGAGTTTTCTACTGTGGTTTAAATTAATTCTTAACTTGTAAAGTACTAATAGATCATTCTCATTGAAAATATTAAAATATATTATAATGATCCGCTCTGGTCCAATACCTGAAGATTTTATATTTTCAATAAATAATAATAGTGAACGACCAAAGATCTTTCCTGCAAGAAGACAGAGTCCTATTCCGCATGATCCTGGAATAGACCCAAAATCAGGTATTTAGAACATTTGTTTAATCAATAGAAAAAGTTTTTATTTTTAAATATTCATACTTAATTCAAATTTAATCCAATTTTAGATTTGGTTCGTCCAAGTTCTGCTAAGGTTCACTTAAAACCAGAGTCCTTAAAAATTGCTCGTAATCATCAAGGGAATGAGCTTGCTTTGTTGTTTAATCCATTATTTCAAATTAAACCAATCGGTGTCAGATCAAGTATGAAAATTTTTTTTTTTATTTAAGTGTGTAGTTTAAATATGTAAACAGGGTCACACACACATAAAGTTTTAGGTTTTTGTTTTGATGAAAACTAAAAATAAACTATGAATTAGTTAGAGATGAGTAAACAATAGAGATAACTAAATAAGTAAGTATACATATGCATATAAGATTTATATAAATTTATACAGACTACATTTTTAATTTGATTGAAGTAGGGTTTAGTGTTTATTTACCTAAGCATATTGTTGATCACTTGATAATCACGCAATTATCAAATCTGACATTTATGTTAATTGTTCATAAATCATGCAATCGTCAAGTCTAATGTTTATGTGAAGATTGTATGATGCAAGCAACATAAACATCTTATTTTCAATGGTCATAAAATTTCATGTTAAAGTAGTTTTTTAAAATCAATTCATAAATTTCCTATTCTTCTCTCATAAACTTATTGCCGTATGGTTACACTGACCAGAATGGGTATAAATTTTGAATATATATATATATATATATATATATATATATTAAATTGTATTTTTTTAAATCACTTAATTTATTTTAATCAATAAAATTCATTAAAATTCTTTTCTTAGTTGTTCAAAGTATCTATATTATATCAAAAATAGCCATATAGATGAATTATGTCAGCAAAATCAAAATTGCAAAAAATGATTCAGCAAGTTAAAATAATAATTTGCACCAAATTATTATTGTAACTTTTAACTAGGAAATAATTTTTAATCAAAACAATCATGTGAACCATTTTAACATTTTATAGGTTAACTATTTCTGTACATTTTATTCCAAGAGATTTTATTATAGTTAGAGTTTTGCTGGAGTGAGTTTAGTTTTGCACTAATAGTTTATATAAATTGTTGAAATTTTACATTGCATGGCAAGAAAGCGGGAGTTGACTGTAGAAAAACAGTCTGCAATATTCACATTTGCTAAAAAACATACTTTTCGGTCTAATAGTAAAAAATATTCAATATTTCGACCTTCAACAGTTTGGAATATTAAAAGGTGTTTAAAATTTCAACAATTAGGAATATTAAAAGATGTTTAAAATTTCAACAATTAGGAATATTAAAAGGTGTTTAAAATTTCAACAGGAATATTAAAAGAATGAAGAAAAGGAAGAAAGGTTAGTGAGCAAATGATAAAATTATGAAACATGTTGGGGCTGTTTTAGTGAGAATGTCACAGGTGACATTGCAAAAATAGAGGGAATAATGATAAAAGATATGTATTTGGACTTTAAAAAATTCATGTCATACCTTCAGGAAGTTGAATTATTGGGAAGCCATTTATGTTAAAGAAGAAAACAATCAAAAACAATCTTCAAAACTTTGTAAGAATTACTTGAGTGAAAGAATATTCAAGTCTTGAATGATTTAGTCTCCCTTCTCGTCAGATCTCTCTCCTGTCAAACTTTTATGGGATGAACTAAAAAAAAATTAATATAATAGTATAAAAATTAATGCCTAACAGTGCAAAGGATATGTGTAAAACAATTCATAATGAGTTGGAGAAGTTGTTAGGTAGATGCCAGGAATATGAATGTGGATGTTGCCACCAAGGGTGGTTACATCCATGAGACATCCACCAAGGGTGGTTACATAGATGGGAGTAAATTATAAAGTAATTTAATTTTGTAAACTAGCTAATAGTAAAATAGTTGATTTTTTAATTTTTGTTTTTAGTTTCTCTCCCAATTCACAGTTTATCACTTTATGATAGCTAGGTGGACAAAAATATTTTTGGATTCCTATGAATGATATTTTGGTGTTTTAAGTATTTTTAAATTAGGTAATAAAAATACTTTACACATAAATTATGTAATAAAATTTTGCCAAATATAAAAAATATACTTACTATAATTCAGCTGATAATGTAAAATAAAAATAAAATAAAAAAATATTTTCTTACCAATTATCATCTGGTAAATCATTGTTATTTTTTACTATCCAAAGAATTGGACCCTAAATAATCTTCACCCCCACACAGAACTGATTTCCAACCGGTGGTTTAACAGATGGGACAATTAATTTCAAAACTTCTAACTGTAAATTATTGATTTTCTACTTGATAATTCTCTGAATGAGTTGATGACAGAATCAGATGTTAGAGCAAATCTATATTTGTAGAATTATATGATTTTTTTCTTGTATGATGCTCACGGAATCGACAAAAAATCTTTATTGCAGGCTTCTCGAGGCTCTTCTAATAGCTGTCCAATAGCTGATTTAAAGAAGTTATGTTTTTGTAACTTCCGTACTGTATTATATGCCTGTTACTGTGTAATAGTCTTTTGTGCACAGTAACAGGCATATAATACCATGGTAACAAGCATATAATACTATGGTATAGGTTAAGATAAAAAGTTTTAGTTTCAGAACAAAGATTTTTATTTTCATAATAAATAATATCATAGCCATAAGAAAGTGTTTATATAAAATACTGAAATTTTTAATGAGATTGACCTCTAAACCCGTAATCTCACCACTAAACTCTAGCTTCATAAAAATACTTTTAGCTGTGTTCCCATTAATTTTATTGCCAAAGCCTGGTTTTGGTTTGTCTACATTAAAGTCCAAATGGTTTTTAAATTTTTGTTTGATATTTTTTGAAAGGATCTTTTGGACACTATCTTTTAGACGCTAGATTTGAACATCACTTCTAACTTACATTTTTTATATCTAAATGATAGCTGATGTGTAATACGCACTCAAAAAAATGAATCTTCACATGCAAAGATAGACCAAAATCATAATGTTCTTTTTTAACAACATCTTTTAGTTCACCATTCATTATTTTGTGAGCCATACTATATATGTAACATTTTTGTTGGGAACTTGTGTCAGTCAAGGCAAACTTTTCTATCTATCATTAAGAGCATTAGGTTGTGTTTAACAGCAATTTGAGATTTGTTGAGTCTTATATAGATGTTGGAATAAGTTAAGTTTTTGTTGTAGTAAATAGATTTGTTTCTTTTGAAAATATAAACTTAATTGTTTGGCAAAAAAGTGTGAATAAAGGTCACAGATTTTGCCAAATAATATTTTGTCCTTCACTTAGTCTCAATGGAACAAATGAAAATACAAACAGAAACTCATCAGTAGCATCAAAGTTTGTAAATCTTTGTTTATAAGTGATGTGACCGGAGCTCCCATTACAACCTTAAAAACAGTCCATCATCATATGTGCAGCAGACCATTTTGTTGCAAATTTTGTTGCCATACATGAAATTTTTAACTGCAAAGAACAAAAAAATATTTTAAAATTTAAATGCAGTTTTTCAAGCCTTATTCTAAAACATATTGCTTTTCTTTTAAATAAAATACTTAATGTAATTAAATAGTACTTACCTTTCAAAGTAAAATCCATCACTGTAATGAAATAATTCCTTTCTTAAAATTTTGTTAAATGGTATTACAAATGCTTTAAATTTGTAATTAAATTTTTTCAAAAATGAAATTAGATTTTAACGTCTTCCTAATTGCTTATTACTAATTGCTCTAATGTCTATGTTTTTTATTAACAATGCATGTTATGGCCAATGCAGGGCTGTAATTCTGAAAATATTATCAATTAGTCAATTTCTTGAACTTTTGCCCACCCAGCTTGTATAAAACGATACACTGTGCAACGGTAAGTAAAATTTTTTTATTTAAAAAGTATGAGCATTCAAATTTTAAATACATTGATTTTCAAATTTTGAAAAATTAAGGGAGATAATGAAGAGATTAATAAATAGAGCTCTGGCAAACAATTACAAACACTTTAGTAAAAAAGGAATGTTGTCCAGACCACAAGCTGTAGAGTAGAATTTCTTTAAAGTATTAAAAAATAAAAATAAAAAATAGGGTTTTAGAATTCAAGTGTAAAACAGAGTGAGATTCAAATCTCAATTAAATTAGCTCTTAAAATTAATTTTACTTTTATTAATGCTAACAATTTTATTATTAATAGCTCATCGCGAAACCAAGGATTATGGTAAAGAGAATTTCTACAAAATCAAACAGATTCAGAAAGCTAATAAAGAAAAGCAATCAGAATCATCTCGTAGTACTCCTGTCAAAGCAGTTTATAAATATGATAAATATGAACATATTCAGTCAAAAGTTGCTGAAATTATTCAAGTAATCATTTTTGTTTAAGTTCTTATTTTTAATTAACATATAAAAGTATGCTCAGTTAGTATATATGTATATATATATATATATATATATATATATATATATATATATATATATATATATATATATATATATATATATATATATATATATATATATATATATATATATATATATATATATATATATATATATATATATATATATATATATATATATGTATATATATATATATATATATATATATATATATATATACATATATATATATATATATATATATATACATATATATAGATATATACATATATATATATATATATATATATATATATATATATATATATATATATATATATATATATATATATATATATATATATATATATAGACACACGCAAAGGCAGTATTTTCACTTGGAAACATACATGTTGGCTGTTGAGTCTGGGTTTAGGCATTTAAGCCAGAGTTAAAGTTTAAGTTATATTGTTTACTAAATATTTTTAAATTTCTTTATTCAACTTTTTTTACAAGTAATTTAAAATATTAAACATAATAAGTTAAGAGGAAAAATAACAAAAAAAATGTGTTGTAAGAATAGTGAGATTATCTCTATTTTATTTTCATATCATCAGTGACATTTTATCAGCACTTTTATATGCAGTATAAGATGTTTGGCTTCCTCATGCTTTGGGAAGTTAAAATTAAAAAGAAAAAAGATTAGATAATAAATTGACTTTAGTGATCTGTAAATGATATGCTCAACTACTGCTAAAATGTATTCAACTACTCCAAAAATTTGTTTGTCGCTACGACTTTTTTTTTTGTTTTTATAGTCTTAATTAATTACTTTTATTATTGAGACTATGACCATCAATTTTATTATTGAGGAGGGTTGGGATCAAATACAAATGTATTAAATCTAGATTCTCATATACAAATTTAAATAAAAATATTGGCATTTTCAAAATACAAATGCAGATGTTTTAGATTAAGAAAAAATTTTAGATTAAGAAAAAATAAAAATATTTTTAACTTGATTTTTAAATTTTTAAAACTTATTTTATAATGTAATTTCTTTTTCCCATATTATTATAAATAATGCTTGTGGTTTATCTTAATAAAATCTTCATAAAAAAGTAATTAGCGGTTTATTATATAAAAAAAAATTTCAATTATAATATAAATTTTTATATAAAAATTTATTTCAAGGTCAAATTTGTAAAAAGAAAAATTTCAAATATTTCTTTTTCCCATATTATTATAAATAATGCTTGTGGTTTATCTTAATAAAATCTTCATAAAAAAGTAATTAGCGGTTTATTATATAACTATTTCAAAATAACAACAACAGTTTATTATATAACTATTTCAAAATAACAACAACAGTTTATTATATAACTATTTCAAAATAACAACAACAGTTTATTATATAACTATTTCAAGGTCAAATTTGTAAAAAGAATCATAAAAAGAGAAGATAAAACACATTTAATGTTAATTTAAAGAACATGTTTACTTTCATAACGCAAGTCATAGATGAGCTCCTCAAATGTACTTTTTGTCAAAGCCTAAATTACATTAATAGTCGTGAAGGGAAATTACATTAATAGTCATGAAGGGAAATTACATTAATAGTCATGAAGGGAAATTACATTAATAGTCACAATTAAAATAAGTATATCAATCACAAAATGGCTTTAGATTTTTTAATTTGCTTGTGTGCGTTTAAATTTGAAGCAATAATTGTAAAAGTGTTCAGGTAGTAAGATCAAGGGATATTTCAGGGAATTTTGTGAAACTCTGAAAATGCTTTATCAACAGCACAATGTGTCCATCAAATCACAAAGGTGTTAAAATGTATTCAATTTTGTCTAGTTATTTTGATGTTGAAGAGGGAGTACATATTCAGCTGATAAACATGGATTGTGTAAATGGCCTCAGATATTTTATCATTAAAGTTATCTTTAAATCCATTAGTGCCAACAAAACTTCTTCAAAAATTTTGAAATTTCTGCTGACAATACCGATATGAATTTTGGAAGTTTAAAACGAAACTGTAAGAATAATATTTGATTAAATAAATTAAAGTTGTTTGTCAAGCTAAACTATGAAATCCTTGTTATTGATTCCAATGTCCATGTTATATTAAAGACAATAAACACAGCATCTGGTTATTTATCAATTGAAGTGAGGATTAAAATTTCTTTATTTTTGTACCATTTCACTTACATCCAACTATTGAAAGAATGCTTAAGTTATATCAGCCACTATGATCATACTTTTTAAGGGTAGAAAGTTGTTTAAAAATGTAGTATTTGACTTTTCATTAATGAAATGGGTGAAGTAGTACTATTTTTTGTTCACAGTTAGACCAATATTTTTTATAACATAGTAGATAAAATTGAGAAAGATAATGTTTCTGCTGCTGAAGTTTGAAAGACCAGATGAAATGTAGAAAAGAATTAGATAAGATTAATAGATGACATTTTACCTTTCATTGTAAGAAAGCATTTTCAAGTTACTGAAGAAAGTAATCATCATTTGAAAAACCTATTTCTAAAGGAACATTTTTTATGGTATATGGTACATTTTTACATAGCAAATAATGATTATAGGAAGGAAATTTCTTGCAAAACATGAAAATTCAATAAATATCAGAATTAAAGTGGTAACTGATGAATTAAAGAAATTGTGAGAATAATATTTGGAAATACGATAAGGAATATGCTCAATATGTTAAATTTGCAAATGTATTTGATATTACAAAAACAAATGACATCTGGTTGGCAACTAAAGATAAAAGATTTTATAAAGTACAGATTAAATCTCAGAATAAAGAAGAAGTTGGTTATGCAACAACAATCCAAGTTAAAGTGCATTCATTAAATGTTGACAAAAGAAATACCTCAAGCAGTAGTGTATATAATCTTCCTTTTTCAAATATTAGAATATTTTATATTAGAATATCCCAAAATTTCTGATGATGATACTAATGAATATACTTGTTGAAGGCTTTAAAAAAAAATATTCCACTACAGAAACTGCAATTTATCTAGTGAAACAGACTAATTTAAGTTCCTCTAAATCAGCAAGAGTTAGTGAACTTTGACCAAAGTATTGATAGCCTTACACCAACTCAATTTGCAATATATAAGGCATCTGTCAGAGAATCACAAAAAATGTAACAGAATTTTTTAGAAACTCTAAAAAATGAAGCTCCGCACTTTGATGGTAAGAAATTTAATAAGCAAAAAATGCAAATTATATTATAAAACAGTTGATATCTCATCAAATAATAAACAAACTAATCAAAATAAGTAAATACACAAAAAATTTATAATATAAAAGCATATATATAATATAAATTCAATACTCATTATCTTCCCATGGGTTGTTGAAGTGATCTTGGATTAAAACAATAGATAATGAATGCTCTCCGCAAACTAAACGGTTTTTGTCCTCTTGAGTTATAATTAAATCTGCTGCTTTATCCATATTCGTTATATTGATTTATCAATAATGTTTAGATCACAATTAAACTAATGATTATGCTCCTGTCAGAGCAAGCTGTTTAAAATAATTTCTTCAAGCCACCTAAGAACAATTAGTGTTTTGTATTTGCAATAATGACTTTATGTGTTTGCATTGCATCACGTTTTACAAGCCACTAGAGAGCAAATAGAGTTTTGTATTTGAAATAATGACAATTGTATTTGAAATAATGACAAATTACTTTATGTGTTTGCTTTGAAGAACATTTTATAATCTGCTAGAAAGCAAATAACAATTGTTAAATTTATATACAAAATGTTGATATTTGTAAACAATTAGATTTGCAGTCAAATGGTAATAAAATAATAAAATGTTGGTAATTTTTTAATTTATACAAAGCAAATATACCATTTCTGTACCACATTGTAGATGTAATACCTTTAAAACCTGCTCACATAAACTTAATTTTTTTTTTTTTAATTGATGTCATTTTAGTTTCAACACCTCCTCCCCATTGTCAATTCTTGCCAAACTTTTCAGTATCCCTCTCCCCCTTATATTTACTGACATCATTTATTGATGGCCCTATTAAGTTTGCCTAGCAGCACTAACTCTTCGGGAAACTGTTAATAATTAAATACCTTTTGTGGAAAGCAGTTAAAATCTGTGATACCAAAAGTGTCAATACTGGAGTGAGAAACAAAATTGTTGTAATGATCCAACAGAAATTTAAAGAAAATTCTATACCTTAAATTATAGGGTGTCAACATCATGCATTGGATTTAGTCCTAAAACATTCAATTGATCAATTTCTTGGTGGAAAGACAACATCTCCAAATATATCATGATTTTTTGCAAGAAGTCAGTGACAACTATGTAAATCTAAGAAATGGCTTTCAACCAAAGTGATGTAAAGATAAAATTTAAAAACATCAAATGGTGTGAGGATATGCAGTTTTATATAAATTTAAAAACATCAAATGGTGTGAGGATATGCAGTTTTATATAAATTTAAAAACATCAAATGGTGTGAGGATATGCAGTTTTATATAAATTTAAAAACATCAAATGGTGTGAGGATATGCAGTTTTATATAAATTTAAAAACATCAAATGGTGTGAGGATATGCAGTTTTATATAAAAACAACAAATGGTGTGAGGATATGCAGTTTTATATAAATTGGGAAATGCTTACTGATATTACCAAGACTATGCATCATTTTCCTTCATTACTTTCATTCTTTTTGCGATTCAAACACAAAGAAGTAATATTTGTGCCAAAAGATTGATTAAAATCATGCAAGAAATAAAGTGTAAAAGTGCTGGAAAAATCAATTTGAAGTTTATTTTATGGAATTTTTAAGTGATAGTATTTTATTATGTTATTCAATTTCTTACTACAGTTGTGTTTTATATTATATTATAGTCATAAATAAAAATTTATCCAAGTTTTACTGTTGCAATATTTTTTTAACAGCTTTTTGAGGTCCTGGATGAGCATTTTGAAATGAAATTATAAATAAAAGTTTATTTCAGTGTTTTTGTACCAAAACTCACCTTGGACCATAGCCTTATTTATATTTTTATACAAAATATAAATAAGGCTTTTTTTAAACTCATACAGGACCATAGCCTTATAATATTTCAAAAATGTATATTGCATAAAGGATATGTGATACCTGCCTACAGTATAAAAATGTATTAATGCATTGAAAACATTTAAAAATGTATCATATAAAATATAAATTTTAAAATATTGTGTTAGAGAAATTTATGATACAAATTAATTTGAATCATATGATCGGATTGATGACCAGTATATGCATTATTTTATTATATACTGTTAAAAAATGTTGATTGTTAAGATGTTGATGTTTTCTGATTGTTAAGTTGTTTTGTTGGTGATGATTGTTGTGTTGTTGGTGGTTATTATTGTGTTGTTGTTCGTAATTGTTGTGTTGTTAGTTGTAAATACTTTATTAAAATATTGAGAGTGTTTTTTAAAATTCTGAGAGTATCCTTTAAAATGTTTAAAGAGTCTCTCTTAAAACATTTAGTCTCATTTAAAATCTCTTTTAGAATACTGACAGTCTTCTTTAAAAAAAACTTATTATAAAGTTATATTTTACAACTTCAATGAAGTAAAAATCAAAATTAAATTTTTTTAAAAAGAAAAATAACTTTTTATTTTTTTAGTTATTTATTTAGTAGATTGTAATTTTTGTAATTTAGTAGATGGTAACAAAAACATTTATTTAGCAAAAATGTTTAAAAAATACATTTGTATATACAGTAGCGTGCAAAAGTTTAGAAACACCTACTGTTTTTCAGTTTTTACTGCAAAACTTTTTACAAACTTTCAGAAATAAGCTAAAATTTTTACCAAATGTGCTCTATATTATTTCAATTTAAAATACAAACTAAAGAAGTTGTAAAATTGAATGGTTAACATTTAATTGTTTTTTTAAAAAAGCTTCCTTGCAAATTTTTATAAACAGTATCATACCCCGCTATAAAATCATGTTTTTGTAAACAAAAGCAAAATTTAAAGCAAAAATATTTATGAATTTAATAATTTCAAAGACATTGAACTATAACTAATTGCCAAAATATTTGTTAAATAAAATGACTTACAGGCAGATTTCTGAACTTTACAACATTTCTAAACCAGCAATAAATCACGTTATGAAAAGATTTTGCCTGCGCAAATTTATTGAAAGTAAACCTCGCTCTGGAAGACCTAATCACGTTTTGGAAGACCTAAAGTTACAACTGAAAAGTCTGATAGATTATTAGTAAAGTATTCCAAAAATAATCCTCATAAGACTGCTGTCGAACTTAATTTATTTATGCATCAGTTTTATGGCACAAACTGTAGCAACCAAACGTCGGTTACGACAAAATAAGATGTATGTCTGTCATCCAGTCAAGTAACCACTATTATCTGCAAGAAAATTAAAAAGCAGAATAAAATTTGCAAAAGATCATATTAGTTAGTCAGTTAATGACTGGTCAAAAGTCCTTTTTTCTGATGAATCAAAGTTTATGCTATTCAGTAGTGACATAATTAGGTATGTTAGGCCAAACACTAAGTATTTTATTATTAGGTATGGCCAAATACTAAGTGTTTTATTAAAATTATTTTACTGTTAAAAAAATTTTATTTTGTGAATTTTAGTAAAAGTTTTCAGGTTTTTTGAAATAAATATTAATAAAATTCAGTTGTTTTTAAACTTTTGCAAGGAAGCTTTTAAATGTTAAAAAAAAGCAATTAAATGTTAATTAACCATTCAATTTTACAACTTTTGTGGTTTGTATTTTAAATTGAAATAATGTAGGACACTTTTGGTAAAAGTTTCAGCTTATTTAAGAAAGTTTGTGAAAAGTTATGCAGTAAAAACTGAAAAAAAGTTGGTGCTTCTAAATCTTTGCACGGTACTGTAACTCTAAACTAAACCAGCAACCATTTTGATTCTTTAGAGATTAGATAAAACATGAGTTTAAGCAAGTATTTTCCTGGGCTGTTTAACATTGAGTAAAATTCTTTTCTATCTTAGACCCCTCCTGCTCCTCGAGCTGATAAGGTTTTAACAAAGTCACAGTCTGCTTCAGAGTTTACTATTGATCTTGGTAATGTCTCACCAGATGATTGTGTACTTCATAATAAACAAAATAGTTTACAGGACACTCCAAAAAAAAATTTAAAGGAACCTTTTATAAAAGCAACTAGTGCAAGAGATTTATCACACGGATCACAAAGATGCAATACAAGCAGTGCAGTGGCAAGACCTTTTTCAGCCGGAGCAGCAAGACCTTCTTCTGGAGTAGTAAGTTTTTAATTCTACTATTCTGGTATTAATAAAGAAATTTTTATTTGTGTACTTTTTTTTAGGCTTAAAATTAAAAATCAAACTTATTGTTAAATAAAAGCAATTAAAAAAGTAAAGTTTTATACCATCTCACTTTCTAAACTTCATAGATTTCACGTTTTATAAACTAAATTAATATTTGTGTTAAATTAGTTAAAGTTCCATGTTCCATGTATAAATTTAACTTGTTTAGTAAAATAACAAATGAAACAGTTGAAAGTTTCATAAATCTTTTTGCTAAGCAAATGTTGTTATAAAATGATGTATGTTTTTATAATCCTTTTTTTAACCATATAACTCTAAATGTCTAAAACACATCTTGTGCCTGCAGTAATAGTTACCATGGTAATAGTTAGTGTCTTAAAGTATCATGGTAACTCTAAATCACAAACCTCAATAAACATATGGTGAAACAAGTTGAGTGTAGAACTACCAGAGGTGAATGAGGTTAATTGAGGTGAGAGTAATAAGCGAGGTGAGTGTATCAATAGTGGTTTTTAACTCTTTATATTTTGTTTACAAACCAAAATCTCAACCTCTCCATCATTTTCAAATGATTTAATAGATAATTTTAAGTGAAAAAGGTAGAAATAGATAATTTTATACACAAACGTATGCAATGTCTGTTGTAGGCTGTATGTAGGACAGTATAGCATAATTGTGAAGTGTTTTATTTTTTAAAGACTTTTTTTGGTGGATAAAAAAAAAAATTTTTTAATGACTTAAAACTTGTATTTTTATTTTTATATTGAAATTTTACAAGTTTTTAAACTCAGGTTCGAAATCATTTGTTAGAAAATAAAAAATTCCTTAAGAATGTAAATATACGTCGATCCCCATCTATGAGTGCGCTTGAAGATTTAAAAAAGAAAAAAGAAAAAGAAATTCAAGAGCATAAAAAAGGTGTCATACCTAAATAGTAAGTAAAGTTAGTACTAAATTTTAATGACTCGTGTGTGTGTGTGTATATATATATATATATATATATATATATATATATATATATATATATATATATATATATATATATATATATATATATATATATATATATATATATATAAAATTAAGTTTAGGTTAGCACTGTAGTGGAGGTTGTTGGTGATTTAAGGAAACGTTTCATTTAAGCTTTAGCCCAATAAATCTGTAACCCTAGTAACTCTCTAAACTTAAACAAGAAAATTGTTATATCTACTTCATATTTGCTGCTAAGGCAGTAAGCTTTAAACACAAATATATTAAAGAGATGAAGAGTTTATTTTTTATATTGACAAAAATAATTGACTTTAAAAGTTTAGGTTAGATAACTAAGACTGACAACTAAAAAATTTGAAGGGTAGAGAAAAATTAATCTTTACAGATTAGCAGGGTGGCCCCAGTCATCGAAATCATGGAAATGTTATGGAATTTTATTTGGTCATGGAAAAAGTCATGGAATTCCTAAATTTTTATTGAAAGTCAGGGAAAATTCATAGAACTTTTTAAAATTATCTTTATTTGTTCTACTTGTGATATTTTTAGAATGCAAAGAAAGTACTAGTATGTCTAGTCTTGGTCCTTTTTGAAAAATACATTTTTGCAGTGTAAGTTATCAAAGAAGTAAAAGAAAAAGACATGATTTTTTTAAGACATGATTTCAGTATTTTCTACTAATTAGTTTTTGGTTTGCATATTTTATAATGACCAAGTTGCAAATGCTTAGTGCAAATTGCAAGTGCATGGCAAATACTGAGTATTTTACTCTAGTGATTTATGAGTAGCCACCCTAATACAAGCACCCTAAAAGTAACCACCCTAATACAAGGGTTGATTTAAAACTAAATTTGTAAATAATATTATTAAGGTTTATGTGTCTGAATAAAATTTGCGATTGAACAAAATTAATCTCAATAGTTTTTCAATCAGATCCTTGGAGATTATATAAAATAGTTTAAATAATAAACACTCTCTTGTAACTAATATTTGACTGCTTACCTTGCTGGATGACTGGTTGCTATATATTTAATAGTTTCAGTTATCTTTTGAGAAAACATTCCATAACCGCTAATCATATAATGTGTGTTTTGAACACAAATGTTTTGTTGAATAATTGATTGCTTTGTTGAAAAATTGTGTGTGTGCCTGTTATTATGAATCATGGATTTTCTTTGGTGCCATACCTACTAAAAAATACAAATTATAAAGAAGCATAAAAACTGATTTAAAAAATTGCTTTTTTTTTCCATATCTGATAATAAAATTTAAAAAAATTTAATTTTATGTAGTTGTAGTAGTCTATGAAATACAAAAATGAAATTTGTTTATCAAATTAAAAAAATTGCAAAAAAAAAAAATAATTAAATAAAAATCTTTTTATAGAAACTTGTTTTTACATAGTGATACTTTATACCTTCAAGTGGTGATATTTTATACCTTCAAGCGTTTTCATTTTTGTGAAAACTTCAAGACACAAAAAAGTGTGATTAATTTCAAGTGTACTATGTGTTTTTAAACCCTGAAATGAATGACAAAACTATTGATGTACAAAGTGCTTATTTAATCATGTTTTGGTGGAAAGATTTTGTGTCATGTTCTCTCCTCAAGATGGCTAAAAAGTTTATAAAAAATGTTTCCAATCTTCTTTTATAAACTTTTAATGACTTTTACATGTTCTTTGATGGAAAGTTGTTCGAACAAAATTTACCAAACTTAGTAGCTATTTTAGTTTTAATTGTTTAAGATTTTTTAGTGCTTCAATTTTGTTGCGATAAACAAAATTATTTGTAGGATGACACAACAAGTGTAACACAAATGCTTGATCAAGTTATTTGTAGGATGCACAACAAATGCTTGATCAAGTCAGTTATAGACTTTGATTTTATAAATGATTTCAATAACTTTATTTTTAATAGATATGTAGATTTTCTAAAATTTTAAGCAAAAAAATGTCTGTACTTTTTTTCTCTCAACATTGTTAAAAACAAAAATTCTAGAAATAGATTTATTTTTACAATCAAAATATAAGCTGATCAAAATTTAAATGAATCTGTTAAAAATTCGAACATATGTATGTTCAGTGTTTATATATTCATCGAACATATGAACAGTCTAATAAAATAATAGTGTAACAAAATGGTAGTGTGATGAAATGACAGTGTGATGGATGACATGATATTGTATTAAAACGACAGTGTAATGAAATGTATCAGATAACCAATTTTTTTTTGATTTTATTGAATCCTTTTTATAGCTTAGATGAGAGAAAAAAAGAATGGCAACGACTTGAAGAAGAAAGGATAGCTAATTTACCAGATCCTTCTATACCTGCGGGTCATACATTGATGCCAGATGAGCAAAGAAAATCAACTTTACAACTATTAAAAAAATGTACGATTTTTTGGCAAATAATTTATTAATTTTATATATATATATATATATATATATATATATATATATATATATATATATATATATATATATAAAATTTTTTAATATATTAAATTTTGAATTAAAAAAAACCACGTGTTAAAACGATGTTAAAATTTGCATAAACGTGTTAAAACGATGTTAAAAAATCTTTGAATTTTGGACCCCCTTTATTTAATATATATAAACCTGGGGTAGAATAAATTTTAAACATCTTATATTATCTATAAATAATTACATTTGATACATTTAATACATAAACGTAATTTTAATAATTATTATTATGATTTTTTTAAGCTCAACAAGAATATATGGCGGAAATGCAGGCACTTCCCGTAAGTCGAGATACAATGCGAGTAAAAAACAAACGCGATAATTTGGAAATGAAGCTACAGGAAATTGACACAGCTATAAAAATATTTTCTCGGCCACGTGTTTTTGTGAAAGATGACTAGAAAATTTTAAAACTTTATATTTTTGATTTTTTTTAAGGAAACAAACTGTATATTTTTATTTATATATACATATAAATTCATATATTTAATAATTTTTAGTGGTTTTAATTGTTTTGTAAATAAAATCTAAAGTTTACTGAAAGATATAATAACAGATTTTATAAACGTTATTTCTTTTTAATATACACGTAGCAATTGCTTAATGGATTTTTAGAAATAACTAAGGCTGTTGACGGGTACCCGTCATTTAATAAAATTAAAGTTCATTTCATTTTTTTTTAAGCTTAAAATAGTTTTGAAATAATTTTAAAATATTAATTTGACAAGATAAAATTTTCAATAGTTACGATTTTTTTTATCTCAAACCAAATTTTTTGAAAATATATAGCGTTCGGATAGTTATTTAAGTGCATTGTTAAGTGCAATAAAATAAACTAGAGGTACATCGATGTCTACTTTTGGCCGATGCCAATTGGTATAGGCCAATACCGATGCATCGGTATATGCCCTAAATTTGAATTTGTACTCTTTTCTTTTCTACTAATAAGTACATTAGGATTTTTTTTCCAAATATAATGTTAACGGTCAATTTTAATGCTAGCTTATTCCCTACAATAAACCTCACGTTATATACAATATTTTCTTTTACGTAAATCAGAACTCCTCCAACTCTTGGACCATTTAAAACTCTATATCTTTAAAATAATTGTAAACAAAAATATATTATTAACTTGGTAGAAAAATTAAATGGCTGAAAATTAAAGTATTGAAAGTGTGGTCTTATGCAAATCGAATCGATAAGAACAACGTGCATGCTCTGTGAGACAATTTCGGCATCGAAAAGTAGTAATACAACCATTATCTCTCAAAATATTACTGGAAATGTAAGTGTAGATGGCACCACCAGTTTGAGCACACCAATCATATAAACTTTTTTTATAGCTTCATGGTCTAAAATGACAAAAGAAAGAGAACTAGTGATGGATTAGATAATAGCAGAATTCATTGCTAATGATGCACGCCTTATAAGTTTAGCTGAAGGTGCTAGATTTCTTAGCTTGTTAAACTGCATAGATCCAGACTATATTGTTATAGCTCATTCAACTACCACATACAGATAAAGAAAAAATATGACTGTTAAGTCTCTGAAACTAAACATAGGGGAGGCGCAGTTTCATCAATCCATGTGTCAGTCACAACTGACACATGGATTGATGGTTAAAACATTACCTATATGTGTATTGGAGAAAATATCAGTATTCATTTGCAGAATACTGCTGACAACTGGGTGATTCTAGTTTATAAAAATGTTGTTACAGTTCATGGTAACGGTTCAAATATAAATCTAGCTATGCACTTTCTTGGTGAATAGCCGGATAAGTGCTGTTTTGCTTACATGTTACAGTTAGCAATATGTTTCAAACTGCAAAGCGATTGGTGGCACACTTTAAAGGAAGTGCGTTGGCAATGCAAAAACTGCGTAATAAACAAGGTTTACTGAAATTTTGTGGTGGCATGGTATCATTGGACGTCATCATAGATTGCTCTACTCAATGAAATTCCGCAATCGACATGTTAGAGTGATTATTGAAGCTACGCTGGGTGATTAGAGCTATACAGTTCGAATAAAATTTTACGACAAAAATAAATTCATTTACTCTGCAAATGATAGATGAAAACTGGTGGCTTCCATAAGTCATTATGCCGATTCTGGAACCATTGAAGCAGGTATCAACAATATCATTTGGTAAAAATTATTCTTCGTTGTCGTTTGTCTATCCACTATCATCTACTTTTCTAAAGAGTGTCCAAGTAGCAAAACCAGTCAGAAAGCACTGTTGGTATAAGTTGCAGAAATAACATTGCTACTGAAATAGTAAAACTTTATTGCTCGCAAGGATACAGTGTACTGACTGAGCTAAAAGCATCTGTATTAGATCCACCTAATAAGCTTTTAAAATTTTTAAAAGAATCTATTCGAAGCGAAGCAAATTACTCTATCGGAGCTGAAATGGAAAAAATTGTTGTCAGTATTAGGAAAAAAGTATCAAAGTAGTAGCAGATAAATCGACGCCAAAGCGAACAAAAATTCAGCAGATACCAAACTTACCAATAGAAAACATGTTTAATGAACTGGCATTGCTGTGCACAGTCGACAAAGATTTGGATATGTGGGTGAACTTGAGCCTTATTTTTTGGAATCGTCAACAGAAAAAGCAGATCTTCTATATTCTGAAACGCTTTATTTCTTTCAATTAGATTAAGATCATGGTTGACCTGGCTAGTCAAGTACCCGAATCTCGTTCTTCTAGCTTTGCATTTTCTTGAAACTGTGGAGGGATGCGATGTACTGTTGGAAGATTGTTGCTTAGTAAAATGTCATGCTATGGAGCATGCTATGAAGAACTTGTTTTGCCAATCAGTATAAAATGTTGCTGACCAAAATATTGTACTGAGAAACAACCCCATACCATTGTAGAAGGTAGATATTTTATAATAGGCATTATGTTTTTGTGGATATACTTTTGTGCTACTTGTCTTCTTACGTAGTTGCATGGTGTACTAAACATCAAATGTACTTTCATCTGAAAACTTTCTCACTTCTCTTCTTTTTTTTTCTTTACACAGAAAAAAAATTACACACCGTTAAGAGACCAGGCTTTAAAATTTACAATAACCATCATTTACAAATTCAGGTAATTTAGGTGCACGAGTGATATTACATTTCTAAGCAACTAGAATAATAAAATTAAACACCAGAAGAAATGAAAGATATTTATTTTTTAATTATCTACCTAAGGTTTTATGTAAATGTTGATAAATTTTGTAGGTGAAACTTTTGACCAGAAAGTACTTAAAACTTTGTGAAATAATCTCTATACCAAAGAGAAATATTTTCAAACTTTTTTGACAAAAAAAACTTTTTATTGTCAAAAATGTTTGAAGAATATGATTCTAATAATACGAACTATTTTTATCTATATATATATTTAATATATTTATATATATTATAATATATTTATATATATTATATATATTATAATAAATTTATATATATTATATTGTGTTTTTTAATAATTAATAATAATAATAATAATTTTTTGTAACAACGGGGCTGGATAATAAGACCATGTCTTCTGTCAGCTCCAGTCGGAATTTTTTCAAAACTTATATTGTTATGTTGTAAAACATTGTAAAGCTTATTTCAAAGGACGAAATAAATAAATAAAACTATTTTTCTTTAAAATAATTTAAATTTTAACATCTTTTCTTTCACTTTAAACAAGGCAACCACTAATTAAGTTAAAAATAAAGCTGCCACAGACAACCACTAATTAAGTTCAAAACAGAAAACATAATAGAGAGTTAAAGAACAGGAAAGCATATGACAGAAGCAGAGTCGTGGCTAGGCTACCCCACACACCCTAAAGAGGGGGGGGCAGCAAATCTAGGGGCTCATTTGCATATTTAGCAGCCTATTTTAAAATTTATTTATATTTTTTAAGAAATTAGGGCCTTAATGACACCTTTTTTTTGGGGAGGGGGATGAGTAGGAGGTCTCCGACCAACTTGACTCTGCACTGGACTGTAAAATTTATGGGATTTCAAAGCGCCAATGTTTGAGAAAAAAAGTTAGAAAAACAAAAGTTTTTTGAGCATGAAGAAACAGTGACAATACAATTTAGGTAAATGATGAATAACTTAAAGTTAAGTTTTAATAGAACTTACGACAATAGCTCGCTTTGTTAGGGGTCATGGTGATAATTGTTGAAAAGGGAAGGGATGTAACCTTACAACAATGGGGGAAAAGCTTAACTTGGTAGCAAGAGTAATCTTAGTCCAACAACATTTATAATGCATTTTTATACCTTGTATAAAATAGAAGGTCTGAATAGAAGAACCAACCCAAAAATGACACAATTTCCGTACAAATAAGAAGTAGATAATTGAATTAGGAGTAAAAAAATGGCAAGCACGAAAGAGTGAGGCAGCTTTAGATGTTAATTTTACAAACTAATTTTATATAGGGCTTCTATAGAGATCAATAGTGAATAACAATCCAAGAAAAAGTATTATTATATTTAAGATCAGCTGCCAACGTTGAAGCGGCAACCTTTTGTAAAGAATAGAGAATAAATTTGTGTAATCAGGAAAGAAAAGTAATTTGGCGCTTAGATTATTAGGCAGGTTTTTAATATAGATGACATACAAACTGCAAAGAGAAGTAAAAGTGATGATGAAAGTAATCTTGTTGTATCAAAGAAGTTACAGGAAATAAAGATTGTTGTTCTTTAAGGATAACTTTAATACTGTGATTAGAAAGAAATAGTTCTGTAACTAGAGAAGATTAACATGCCTAATCTGATCAAAAGTCTTTGATATGTCAAGATTAATAGCCTTTGTCTTGCAATCTCGATCTAATGCATGATAGAAATTTTCTGTTATAACAAGTTAGCAACAGAATAAGAGGATTGAAACTGTTGATTGTTTATAAGTTGTAAGACTCAAAATTAAATTTAAATTAGTTAGAAGCTCAAAGAATTAATGATAAATTAATTAATGAAATAATGATGAAAACTAATTGGCTACACATTTCCATTAAAAAAAAATTTTCTTTTAATTTTTGGCGCATCAAACCGCTACTCTGTTGTGACAACGAGAGAGCAACTAGAAAAATTGTATTAAATAGTGTATTATTAGTAATAAAATGATGAATGTTCGCATTTCTAAATAAAAGTTATAGAAAAGCGGTCACCAATAGTTAGAGTGGTTAAAACGATCTCCAAAGTTTTTAAAAATTTGATAATAGGAAAAATGCAGTCATTAGATTCAGGAAATAAATTAGTTCTTTGCAGATAGTTCTGTCTTATCCTAGGAAGGGGTAATCAGATCAGATCCATGCATGAGAGATGGAATGTTAAAGTTGGCTTTTATAATGACGTTGTTGAAAGTGTTTTAATCTTCTAGAACTTAAGTTCTGATATAAAGTAAAAGGTTTTGTTATTAAAGAACTTTTTTGTTTTTTTAAGTAAATTGTCAAATGTATCACGCAAATATTGCGTGATACATTTGACAATTAGTACTACTAAGTGTTAATAATGGTTAAATATCAGTCTCTAATTAAAACTAAATCTATCAAACACATATTTGCACAAATTTTTTATTTTTTTTTTTATTTTTTTTTCTTTTGGCCATTTTTGGCGCATTAAACCGCTACGCTATTGTGACAGTGAAAAAGCAACTAGAAAAAAAATATTAAATAGTGTATTATTAGTAATAAAAATACTTGCATTACTAAATGAAACTCAGAGAATAGCGTTTGCAAAAAAAGAGCGAAAATAATATAACAAAAAAAAACAACCATATATATATATATATATATATATATATATATATATATATATATATATATATATATATATATATATATATATATATATATATATATATATATATATATATATATATATATATATATATATATATATATATATATGTATATATATATATATATATATATATATATATATATATATATATATATATATATATATATATATATATATATATATATATATATATATATATATATATATATATATATATATATATATATATATATATATATATATACAGTGACTTCCAAAACTTAAGCAACTTCTTTGCAAACAACATGACTAAATTGAAAAATCTTTATTTATAGATACAAATTATGTTATTTTTTAATTTAACTTTTTTTTTAAATTGTACTTATTAATACAATTAAAACAAATTCTTAAAACAATTTTATATTTGACACAAAAAAAGTATAGTAAATTGCGTGCAAAATACCAGTATTAGTAATTAAAAAAATTTAAATAGACTTCAAAACAAAAGCAACTTTAACAATAAAACCAAAGTAAAGAATAAATTAACCACAAAAATATATTTAATTTCAGTAAATCACTTTAAGTAGATGATTTTTTTTTTTTTATTAGTTATTTTGTTTTGAAACTGCAACTTTATTATTAAAATATCATTTTGTTGTAACAATTAACTTTGATATATAATTCTAACATTTTAGGATTAAATAATGGCAAGAAATAAATATAGTACCTTATTTAAGCAAAAAGTAATTGTTGATTTTAGCGATGGAGTTCAACAATATGAACTATCTGTCAAGTATAATGTGGAAAATTGGTGATCAACCGATGGATCAGCAGAAACAAAGTCAGAGGCACTCTCGAAACAAAGCACAACGGGGGTCGTCCCCCCAAAACATCAAAAGTTACAGATCGTAGACTAGTGAGATTTGTGAAAAAGCATCCTTTTGCTACTGCTCGAGATGTAATTAATGAATTAGAACTTAAAGTTTCAGAAAATACTGTAAGAAGACGTCTTGATATAGCAGGACTATTTAGTTACAGAGCTGCAAAAAAACCGTTTATTTCAGAAAAAAAAAGAAAAGCTAGATTAGAATTTGCCCAAGCTCATAAAAATTGGACAGTAGAACAATGTCACATTTTATGGAGTGATGAGTCAAAATTTAACCTGCATTATTCAGATGGAAAAAAAAAACGTAAGACGCCTAAAGTGCAAGCAAATAAACCCAAAGTATACAAGAGCTGTTTTTAAACCTTGTGGTGGTAAAGGAGTGATGGTTTGGGGATGTTTTTCGGGTTTTTCCGGTTTGGGACCATTATTTCAAATCAACGGCATTATGAACCGTTTTGTATATAAATATATTTTGGAAAAACAAATGGTTCCTTTTGCTGATGATAATATGCCTTTAAGATGGCCATTCCAGCACGACAATGACCCTAAACATGCTTCTAAACTTATTAAAACCTGGTTTAATACTGACCGAATCAGTTTAATGAAATGGTTAGCTAATTCACTAGACCCTAACCCCATTAAAAATCTTTGGAAGCAATTAGACGACGCCATCCAGCTGAAAGGAACATTTAGTAATGCTGATCAGTTGTACATCGAGCTTAAACAAGCATGGCAGGAAGTAAATAAATTACAAATTCATAAATTGATTGAATCAATGCCATGTCATTGTAGAAAAGTTATAAAAAACAAAGGATATGCTATTGATTATTGATATTAATCTAATTTTGAAGAAATAAATCTTATAGACAAGTACTATTAGCAAGGTTTTGAGTTAATTTTTTAAAGTTGCTTAAGTTTTGGAAGCATACAATTTTACTTTTTTTCATTATTTTTTATTTTTATTTACATAAACATTCTTTTTAATATTTTTTTTTGTTTTCTTATTATTGCTTACTATTTCTATTTATATAATAGAAAGAATATTTAACAAAAATATATCTTGTTTTTATACTTTTGTCTGTTTTATGTATGACGTTTAAAAGTTTAGTTTTGGAGTACACTGTATATTAATCAGTAAAAGCAAAAGTTTTATTCTTCAACAACTTGTTTCAACTTTAATGAAAAAGTTGTTATCAAGCTTCAAAAATTAAAACTAATAAAAGTTATTCACACTCCTTGCACGCGAACTCAATTGTTTTGTGATGCAATGAATACACGACCTGTTAGAACACTTTTCGCATGCATCTGCTGCTTGTAGTTTCGTCCCAAAGGCTTTCACAGGAAATACAAAGACGATAGATATGGTAGGGATTACAGCTGGCGGCAGGAAGACACTTAATACTTTGACTAGTAGTAATCTTGGTTATTTTTTTATATTTCTGAGACCATTTTCGGGGTTTCTTAAGTTTTAAAAGCTTTTTTCTTTTTTTTTAAACTTTTGTTCTTTGAGAATTGCCGAGTCCAATTTTTTTTTTCTCAAATAACTTTTCTGGTTTCTTTTTCATTTAGTTTTCTTTTTTAAGCAGCTTGTGTAGCTTCGTCCTGAGCCATTGTTGATAGTTCAGTCATATTATAACTTGTTGTTCTTTTAATTATTGTTCCCTTTTCTTAACTACCGGAAACAGACTTTAACCTCCAAGCACACTGAGCACTGATTTATTACTATCAAAAGATGCTTGTTTAACGGTATTTTTGATCTAGTTCTTTAAGCAAAACTTCTTTTGTTGAAAATCTATTCATAGAGTTTTTTGAATTTATTCTATTAGTCTTATCGAGTGAAAATTGCGAATCCGTAGGTTTTCGAGAAAAATAATTGTTAATTTTGTCATTTGTTACATCTTGAAAAAAAGCCCCAATTGCAGTTTTATTTGGAGTTATTTTTAAACGATTGAGTAAAAATATACCTGTATTTTCAAAACCACTAAGTGCTTTTCCGCTTTAAAGCCTATATTTGTAACAAGGTCTTTTAGCATGGCTGGAAACTGCCGGTTACTTAAACTTAATTAAGAATTTCTAACCAAGTAAACTTCTACAATTCGTTTCCATTCTGTAGTTACTGATTTAAAAACTCCAACATCTATTAGTTGCAAAAAATGAATTGTGTGAGCTGGCAATCGGAATAAAACTAGGTTGTTTGATTCAGATAATCTTTTTAATTCAAAATTGATGTGAGATGCATGGCCGTCTAAAAATTGATGTGAGATGCATGGCCGTCTAAAGATCGAATTTTAAACCTTTGAAGTTTGCTTGTGTGAACTAAAAAATTTGAACAAAACTATTCTATTAAATTTTCGCTTTCCATCCAACTTAATTTGCTTGTAGAATAATAAACATGAGAAGCACCACCTTGAACCCAAGCTTTCATCAAACTTTGACCTTTGTAAATGACTTGATGAGCTTAGAAGTTTCCAAGTGCATCGCAACAAGTTAAAATTATATTCATTTGTTAGGGCAAGTTGTTTTGGATTTTTTATTCCTTTTGAACAAATAATGTTGACTTTACGTTGATCAAAATTCAATCCACTTTCATTACAGTTAAACACATGAAACGGCTTTTCATTTAAATTATGCTCACGATAAACAGTGTTAACTTGGCTGAACCATTCATCAATAAATCTTTGATTTATAAAAGTCTACCCAATAATTTTTTTATTTTAAATTGAACTCCGCAGTGGTTAGCGCTTTTGCCTCAGAAACTAGAGATCCGTGGTTCAAAGCCACCTCAGGGCAAGTTTTATAACTTCGGTAAGGAAGGTGGCTCGAACTTTCTTTCAAATGCTTTTTCGCAGTGCTTTATGATATGACCGTAAGGACTTCTTGGGACAAAAAAGTCTACTGGTTCATATATTAAGGTTTATATACCATATGCGTATATAATGATATAATAAAATTTTAATTATTGTATATCATTTAAGTTATTATTATAAAAATTGTTTTAGTAATTTAAATTAAAAGAATTTTTTTTGTTTATAATAAACTATAATGAATTTTAGTTAAAATAATTTTATTAGTAAAGTTTATTCAACACGCACATAAATTCTTTTATTTTTCGAACAAATAATTTTTAAAAATAAATTATAATAAATTAGTCACAAGTCTGGAACGATCAATTAAAAGGTTGTAAGAAATAACCTCCGTCTTTAAATCATTTGCCTTCTCGCTCTCGTGGACGTGTTACGGCCATATTGTAAGTAAAATATTAGATACCTTTTATTTTTATTTGGAAAACTCAAAAAATGCAATTTCCAGATGCTATGATGCATGAAAACATATGGTTTGACCGTCCTAAATACGAGGAAGAAAGAGAGCACTATGAGCTATTCTTGACAAATAACTTATCTTCTAAACTAGCTGAAACTCACTGTAAAGAGAGTAAAACAACTTTAAATGCTGTTGAATCCAAAAAGGTGAATATGTAAAAGTTATTATTAAATTGAGTTTTGGTGGGTACGGAACAATGGTGTAATATTAAAAATTTGTTAGGTGTCTAGGCTATTTTCATATTTAATTAAAAAGTATTTAGTTTATATGCATTGATATTATACGTATATGCACCACATGTAATTTTGTGTATAAAAAAAAAAGCAATCAGACACAATAGATTTTTACTTTACTATCAAGGGAGTATTTTACATGACAAAAATTTAAGAGCTTCGTGGATCAAAATAGATAAACAATTCAAAGTTTATTTTAACAAGTTAACCCTCTAAATATATTTAGATAACTGTTGACAATTTAAATCAAAAAAAAAAGTCTTGAAAAAAAAAATAATTGTAAATAGGTATGTGATAAATTTTTAAAACTAATTAAATAATAAAGTTTAATCGTTAGAAAAGCCTTTGATACAGTATTTTAAAGATGTAAATATTATCAAAATTAAACAAGTCTATAAAAAGTTATGAGGTTTTAAGTTATTTGGTTAAAGAAATTGTTGTCAAAATTTAGTATTTCATTTAAATTGTAACTTTAGTAATTCTTATTTAATTGCCTATAACTTGGTATGAAAAGATAAATGTAAGAGTGGACTTACAAAGTAAATTGTCTTCTTAGAGTAGAAGAGAGATGCATATGGGGGCTCCTGTAAAACTAGAGGGGGCTGCACCACCAACTTAACTATATATAAAATGTTTTAATAAAAGTATATATATTTTTTAAATCTAAAACGAGAGAAGTAGTATGAAAACATATTTAAATATATTGCAAGATGTATTTAGATCATTTCATCTATTGTTATCTATTGAACCACACACATTGTGTTTACATGCTGACATCTTGATAAAACTTTTTCAGGTTTTAATAACTTGAAAATTTCTTGATACTAAAATGTGATAACTAATTTATGAGAAAAACGCATTTTAAAGGCATCTAAAAGTTATTTATTGTTATCACTTAATATATAACTCAATCAGACACAGTTTAAATCTCAAACACTTTTCCTAACTAGTTTTCATTGATCAGTGCTTCTTTTTAAATCTTGATATTTATCAAAAATAAATAATATTTATTTTATCATAATTATCAGTTGCAAATGTTCTTTCTATGAATCATTGGAACACAAACAAGATCTTGTTTTAATGCTGATTTAAAATAGATGAAATAAAAAAATTCACAGGAATGTTGTATATTTTTTTATTGTTAATATAATTTTTTTATTGTTAAACAGCTTATCAGAAAAAAATTTGAAAGACCTAGATTCTAATTGTTTTTATTTTAATTAGAATAATATGAATCTAGGTAAGTTGTAATTTATATTTAGTTACATTACACGGTTAACTCTGAAACACAAATCTTGGTGAACAAATCCCCATACATAGAAAAACAAGCTGAGTCAGCTGTATATATATATTTCTTACATATTTTAACAAAACCTTTCACCTTAATAAAATAACTACATGATTTATGGAACAATTTCATATATAACTTAAAAAATATATATATTCAAATATTTTCAAATTTAATCTCAAAAGTGAATAATTTTGATGTTTCTTTTTAAATTATTATTTTTTAAATCTTGATTAATTAACAGCTACTAACAAAATTCATTATAATAATTTTTGGATACATTAAAGGTGTCGTTGATAATTTATAGGCAACAAGTGGCTCACTTTTGTCCAGTGAAATTGCTAAAGCAAGGGACTCAATAAAGCAATCCCTGGCAGAGGTGAGTTAATAGTTTCTGTTAAAATAGTATTAATTTTTAATTTAAAAATAATATTATTTTTAATTTATTTTGAATCTTAATTGTTAAAGTTACCTGTTTCAATAGTTTTAAGTATTTTTAAGTTCACCCAGAGTGTTTTTGTTGTTTAAACTTTTTTTAAATGGATTATTGCACAACAAAACGCGATACGATTTTCAAATGTGATGCAATCACAGTGTAACAAATTTATATCACATTTCATTTTTATTTCAATGTTTTTAATATAACTTCAAAAGTAACAAATATTTTAATTTGCTATAAAAATTTTATTATGAAAGAAGTTAAATATATAAAAATGATTTTAAATAGAAAATAAATGTTATTTAAGGTGATTTAACCCCATTACCACTTGTTTGTAGATATATATTTTTTCAACATTTTCAGTTCCAACAAGGCCACAAGCAACCACTTTAAAAGTTAGAAGTTACTGAAAGAGAAGAGATGGCTTAAAAAATTGTAAATTCAGGCTTGGTCGGGAAGCAGGTGCGATCGCACTTGATAATTGACCACGTAAATAATATTTAGTTGCGAAAAGCCAGATTTTTTAGTTGTTTTGAGAACATTTCAAATACAAACAAAAAAGCGCAATAAAATCAACTGGACTGATGAGAAAAAGAAAAATAGCTTTTAACGCGAAAAAACTTTAAGCAAAATAAATTTATTAGAGTAATTATTTTTGAAACGTTGCCCTTTTATAGTTTTTTTTATAAAATTAAGCGACATTTTTTATATACAGTAACAACTATAAAGAAACAAATGTTCTTTGATTTATCAAAGAGTATATATAATTTTTATTTATACAATTATGTCTTATTTCCAGTACTGGATTGAGGAGGTGGAGTGGGGGTAGTAGGGCTATAGCCCCGGGACTCACAATGTTAGGGGAAATAGTCAAGAGGACCATTCAGGTTTTTTTTTTAGTCATTTTTACGCTGTGGCACATAAAAAAGGCCGCCAAAATAATGCAGCCCCCGGCCCTGAAAAGTCCAACAAGATTCAACCAATAAAACTAACGCTAGATGATTTATTTATAAATAAAAAACGTTTTTTCAATACTTGTTTTAAGCTTCGCGTAGTTTAAAATGTTTAACACATTTGAAACAATTCTTCTTAGTAAGATGAACAAATGAAATTATCAAATCATTGAGTTACTGTAGAAATTCAATTAGCTAAATAGAAATTAACTAAAAACGTTAAATTAGTTTGTGAGGAGGATGCGGTATTGTTTCACAATACCGCTGATGATGTTTAGTGAGTGGGCTTTATAATTTTAATACATTACATACATAAAAATACATTACATGCATAAAAAATACATACCTTATATATAAAAAATAAGAATATACTAATAAAATCTACAATATATTTACAAAACATTCATAATTTAAAAAATATAAATTTAAAACATTTATTATTGTAAACAAATAATGTTAGTTTGAAACATTTATAGCTTTGTAGGTGTGGCTCCAAGAATTAAAATAATAGTTTGTTTGATAATTTATGCTAGAAATCTCAACGCAAACGTAACAAAGTTCAAATAATACAGTTTTTAAAAATATTTCAACAGAATACTCAGGACATTCAGTTAGTATTTTTTGAATACTCTAGAAATTTCGGTTAGTATTTTTTAAACCAATAAAATTAGCTGTTCGTAGATTTAGCGGGATTTTTGTTTTCGCGGATATTCGGTTGTTTTTTTTTTTTGTTTTTTTTGTTTTTTTTTTTTTTTTTTTTTTTTGCATCTTTGAGAACATTCAAGTTTATGTATGTTTCCATGTAAGTCCGTAAAACAAAATATTTTAAAATTTACGATTAAATGAACTTATTATTTTGCGGAAAAACATGGAAAAATACATAAACTTAAATGTTCTCAAAACGACTAAAAAATCTGGCCGGTTTTTCGCAACTTAATATTATTACCCTGGTCAGTTATCAAGTGCGATTGCACCCGCTTCCCGAATAAGCCTGAAAATTATATGAATCATGGTGTTTGAGGAGGAAAACAAAAAAATTAAATTTTTCAGAGCACTTTGGAACATTCACAATAAAAGGATGAGATTTAATTGATAATGAGTAACACAAGAATAAATTTTAGTAGATGGCACAAGAGATGCTAGCTCTTTAAAGCAATGCCCATTATAGTAGTTATAGAAAAGAGGAGCAACATTACAACGATGTGAAAATATTCAGAGGTTGGCTGCAAGAGCAGATCAAACTTTGTTTATAATGCGTTTTTGCACCTTGTCTAAAAAAGAAACAGCATCATTTGATTATTCGCTCCAGATATGGCAACAGTATTCCATACAAGAACGGATTTAAGATTTATAGAGATAAAAAATAAAATCCTGAATAAGAAATTGGCAAGCACGATAATGAGATGCAACCTTAGCATATGCTAATTTTGCAAACGATTTGATATATGGTTTCCAAAAAAGACTGAAAGTAAGAGTTAATTCTAGAAGATAAAGAGTAAATCAAGTACATTACTGTTCATAAATATTGGAAGATCTATATTATTGCAACAACGGTAAGCTGAAAATAATTAAGTTTTATCTGAGTTAAAGTTCACCAGCCAGTGTGAGCCCTATGCTGTAGCAGAAGTGAGAATCTTTTTAAGTTAAAATGTCCCCTTCCCCCTCCAAGCTGATAGTGTTGGCTTCTTATCAAGAAAAGAATAAATGGTAATATCGAACAATGCTACATTAGATGTGAGAATATCTGGAAGGTCGTTAATGTAAATTAAAAAGAGAATAGGGTTAATGATAGAACCTTGAGGAACCCCAGAATTTGAAGAAGAGTTCTGTCCATGGAGAGCAACTTTTATACTATAGTTGGTAAGGAAGGACTGGATAATCTTAAAGATGTTACCTGATAGAAAATAAGAAAATCTCTATAAGTTTTCTTCTCTATAAGAAAACTTATAGAGAAGACCAGCATGAGTGATAACCTTAACCTCTCTGTGTCTATCTAATGTACGGTAAAATCTATCAATTGTTACTGTTAACAAATCAGCTGTAGAATGAGGAGACCGAAATCCAAATTGATGATCAGAAAGTAAGTTATTAGATTCAAGATTAGATTTTAAGTGTTAGTTATCTAAAGACTCAAAAACCTTGCTTATAATAGGAAGAAGACTAATGGGATGGTAGTTAGATAACTCAGATCACTCTCAAGAATCTTTAAAATTAGGGATAATAAATGCCACTTTCCAGCAGGCTGGAAAACAGGACTCTGATAAGCACTTGTTAAATAGTTTTGAAAGTATAGATAAAAAGCTCTGGATAAAACTTTTCCATGACTATAACAGGTATGTTGTCTGGACCACAGATTGTAGAAAAGTATAAGCAGGAAATCACTTTAAATACAGAAGCTTGAGTGATATGATCATTAAGTAATTGATCAACTTGTTTGTCAGCTATATCAGGTAGAACGCGACTTGTGGAGTCAAGAGATAATATTGATAAGATGTTCTTAGCAAACAATTTAGCTTCGTCGTTTGGTGTGGTGACAAAATCTGAACCATACAAGAGAGGTGGAATAACAGGTTTGCTCTTATTATAAATACTGTTAAAGATTCTCTAGAAGTCACAAAAGCCTAATTTTAGAGATAAAATATGAGATTTCATTACCTGAGAATAGGAGGTTTTGACATTTGACAAAACTTTTTTACAATGGTTTTTAGCAATGGTGAACAGATGTCTGTTTTCTGGAGAATAGTTTTACTAATAGATATAGAAGTAATGGTTCTTATTGGAAATTGCAGCAACACAATGTGATTAAACCCATGGAGAAGAGTGAAGCTTGACTTGGAATCATAGAGAGGGAATAAAAGATTAAGTAAGTTAAGTAAGGAGCACATTTGTCAGCAGGAAAATAAAAGATTTCTACTCAAGGGCCATCACAAAGAAAATTATGGAAAGTGTCTCGGTCAGCTTTCAGTTTAATAAGAGGTACAATGATAGGATCAGAAACGAGACATAAGTCAAGTAGAGAAGTTAAATGATTCAGATTGTCTGGAAAGTGAGTTGGAAAGTTGACTACTTGTGTTAGAAATTGAGAAAGACAAAAGTTGTGAGCTCTAACTCCTGCATAGTCACTGACTCTGAAACCAAGCCATTCAGTTTGATGAGCATCAAAGTCACAAACAACAATAATATTGGCTGGAGGATAAAGAGAGGGGGCTTGGTCAATTTTTTCAAAGATTTGAAAAAGTGTAGACTTTTGATGAAGGAGAGTAATATAGAATAAAGAGAAAGGCAATAGAGTGAAGCAATGCTAAACAAAAGCTCATAAAAGAATAGTCTGCGGATTCAAATCTAGTTTCCCTTTAAATAGATGAATTCCTACAAAACGTAAATGCCCAGGCCTAGCATGTGACTATTGGAGTCTTTGCGAATTAAAGAAAGATAACCATCAACACTAAAATCACAGGATGAGGCAGCTGAACTCAAATTAGTCTTACAAAGGGCAAGTAGGTCTGGTGAAGTTTGCAAGAGATAAGGATCAACCGAAGAAAAATTACTTTAAAGCCCACAAATATTAATGAATGAAAGATATTAGAGAACTTAGTGATGACAATGTTTTTCTATGTTTTGTAGTTTTTGTCACATTAGTTATTTTTAAGTTTGTTAAAGAACTTAACATAAAGCACAGATAGTACTCAGTACACTATTTAATAGTTCAAGCAATTGCCTTATTACTATTACATAACCCTAAGCTGTGACAAAGGGCTCCTAAGATGGCCTTGACAATGCACATCAAAGGTACAAACAGGGACACCATCAATGCATTGTTACAACACGGTACTGTTAGTACTCTTGTTAGTACTGTTAGATAAATACAAATTCACTGTTAGTACTGTTAGATAATTTACAGCTGTTGATGAAATCAGCCTCTCTGAGAGCTACCACAAAGTTCAGGAAACCTGACTACTGACCTGCCTACAGAGCTGTACCCTCATTAGGATATAATAGGATGAGTTGCCTAGTCATAAAAACAGAGACACAGGCAAAACCCATGCATTGAGTCAAGAAGATCCAGCATTTAACATCCTAAACTGGAAACAATGTATTATAAATACATTGTGATATAAGCGTAACTTTACAAATTTTAGGAGTTTTGCTTTTTAATGCTATGGGTGGTTTTGAAACTTGGCCAATAACAATAATTATGTTGAAACATTTCTTTATCATCTAACCATCATTGAAGATTATCTTTTGCTTCTAATGAAAAGAAAGAGTTTTTACAGAGTATGTAAGATATGTGTTTAGGATAAAATTTGCATATTTCTTTTGTGTAATGTTTTTTGGGAGGTAGTCATATGTCTAGTACATAGATTAAAAATAGGATTGGGCCTTGTATCACTCCTAATAACACATCTTTCTACTCATTAGGCTTGTTGATAATGACTTTTTGTTTACAGTTTCTTTCATGAAGAAACCAATAGGTAATCAAAACAAAGAGACGTGTTTATGAAACGTGTGCTTTAAAGATTTTTTTAGAAAACAATTTTTTTAACAAATTAGATTTTTAATGTAATGATTTTTTAAATAAAGATTTTTTTTACAAATTGATGAAACAAGATGAAGACAAGTTGATGATTAAGGCCTTAAGTTGCAACGAGTATGATGTTGATGATTAAGGCCAACAAGTTGATGATTAAGGCCTTAAGTTGCAACGAGTATGATGTTTGCAAGCCATTCCAGAGGTGCAATACATTAGTTGATGCAATGGTTTAAAGTTATAACAAGATCTTTGTCTAGTTTAAAACATACAGTGTAAAGTAATTTCCCAGATATACCCATATGGCTGGTTAGTGTCAATTGGATGTGTTTGCGTTGTTTAGTGATATTAGAGAAGTTGACAGAGGACAATAAGTGGAAAAGATATTGGTTTAAAATAAGGACATAAATCTGTCTTATTAATTCTTTACTAAAATATATCTGAGTGTTGCATATTTAGTTTCAATATACTTGAGTCACATTTAATCTCAGAAATAATAAATTTCTGAGAAAAATAAGATGTGATCCAAGTATTGATCTTTTTTTAAAGCATTGCAATTTAAATAATTCCCAGCAATCAATTAACACTTTAAATACATTGTTAAGTCTAATAATACCATTAAATAATATGTTTCCAGACTAATAACACCATAAACTAGTATGTTTCCTGTCTAATAACACCCTGCAATATGGCTTGTCATCCTGGTAGTTCACATTCTTTACAGTGATTGTTCCTAGATACTCAAACAACTTGTTAATATATATAAAGTACTGGACAAAGTTATAGCACAAATGTAAAATAAAAATTGAATAGAGGGTTGAATGGAAAGTTATAATTATTTTTTTTTATCTGAAGAATAACATTTTACTTTTTACAAAAATGAATGAAAATTGAAAATACATTTAAAGTTACCATGTTTTAAAGTTCACTTAAGAATAATATAGAAAAATAAGCTGGTCAAAATTATAGCACATAGTACTAATTTTAGATATAAAAAAAAACAGAATTTGATTTAATATGAAGAAGTGTTGGATCCTTTAGCTCTAAAAATTCAAGAAATACAATCTGGAACAGAATTTACTAATATAATGCAAAGATCAATTGAAGTCTTGTCCCAAATGTCTTGAATTGCATCTTTCAAATCATTTGTGTTGCTTATGTTGTAATTTTCAAGTTTTTGGTCAATAATTAACCAAAGATTTTCGATCAGGTTTGCATCTGGTGAAGTGCGTGGCCATTCTTAGAGCCAAATATTCTTCATTGCAAACCATTCCAGAGTTTTTTTTTGCTTAGTGACACGGTGCGATATCTTGCATAAAATAACATTCTTCAGCTTCAGAATCAAAAAGAGTATCTGTATAATCACGTAAATCAGCAATAACTTCTAAATAACAAGAAGCATTCAAACAACCTTCCAAAAACTTCAATAAACCTATTCCATTTGCTGAAAAACATCCCCATACAGAAATAGTTCCACCACCACCTTGTGCTCTTGTTGTAAAATTAAATGATAAATTTTTTTCATCAGGAAGACGATGTGCAAACTTACAGTTTTTTCTATTTATGACTTCAAAATGTGATTCGTCACTAAATATTACATGATGCCATTGATTTCTTGTCCAATCAACAGTTTTTACACCAAGCAAGTATCTACTTTTTCTGAGCCTTATTTTGATAACGTCGTTTCTGTATGTACTTTTTCAAACAAACCCTTTTTCTAACAAACGATGACGAAGTGTTTATGCACTAATGGTTTTTTCTTTTGCACCATATTGCTGCATTTAACTCCATAGCTATTTTTCTACTTGAATCAGTTAGATTCTTTTTAGCAAGTGTCACTATATAGCGGTCTGTAGAATTTGTGCATCTATGACATCCTTGATCTGCTTCATTTTTCATTGGTGAATTAAATTTAATTTTATCAGTGATATTGTAGACAAATTTTCTTGAAATTTTAGTACGTTTAGCAATATCAGCAATATTAAGTTAGTTTTAAAGTAAGTTTTTTGCAAGTTTTGCAGCTCAGAGCTCACTGCTTTGCCACCCATTGCATTAATTATGTTTTAATTTTAAAATTACTGAAAAAACTATGAAAAATTATAAAATTTCCTACTTTAAATAATCAACTATGATGCTAGTAGATGAATAAAAAATCATACACAATAATTTTCGTCAATGCATTTAATCATACACACTGTCAAAATGTATATGTATATACACAATCAATGCTGTATTTTAGACTGGTTCATCAAGTATAAGCAGTTTAGAAAGTGAAAATAAAGCAATGCAAAAAAGTAAGAAAATTTAATGTTTTGAATTATATATTTTTTAAATTCAATGTTAAAATTAAAGTTTATGATGAAAATTCTAAAATAAAATGGTTTGTAGTTCTATATTAGAAAATTTATATATATTTTTAATAATTTTGTATTTTAAAATCTACAATTTAGCAATAACAGAGTTAGTGGCAAAGGTGGCTGCACTTGAATCCCGTGTGACCAAGCTAGAGCAAGCTGCTCATGGTAATGTACTAGTTGAAATGTTTAACTTTCTCTATATTATATATTAAATATTTTTTTGTTTGTTTCATGTACAGCATATTTTGTTAGTGGTATCATTTTCTAATAAGCAATATTTATCTAGTATATCATGCCTTATGATTGTGAATAAAGATACTCACATACTCCTTTCTTTTATTTTTTATAATTTATTGATTCTTTATGTCTGTTACATATTTTTTAGGTACCACTACTGAGACCGCAGCAGAAAAAGTACAGAAGGCTAAAGTAAGTCATAAATATTTTAAATTTACCTGTTTAAATCTTGCAACTAACCAAATAGTTGGCATTCGGCAATGCCGACCTAACTGCCAATCTAACGCCAACCTGAAAGTATTTTAGGTTGGCAAAAAATTGCTGACCTTGTTTCTATGTTTAATGGTAACCTCATTTTTCCTAATTCCAAGGGTTGATATATATATACACACACACATAGATAGATAGTTGGTCAAGGTCAGAAACCAAAAACTATATATTTATATATAGATATAGGGTCAGCATTGCTGAACTAACAGCTGACCTGACCGTGTCTAAGGTTGGCAAACAGTTGCCGACCTCAGAATTTTTAAACTAAATTTTATTTGCTATTTCAAACAAATTTAGAACAGCAAAGCAAACATTTTATTTAAACTCTAAGTAAAAAAAAAAATAAAATAAAGAAAGAAAAAAAGCATTTTAGGTAAATATAGAATATTTTAAATAAAAACAGCAAAACAAATGTTTTATTTGTATTTTTAACTTATTAATTATTAATTTATTAATTTAAGACACAACATCAAAACAAAGATTTTAAATAATATTTAAATAAAAATGAAAAAACATACATTATTATAAATTAAAATTTAATTTAAATTAAATACAAAAAAAAAAGTAAAAACTTTTTTTAATTTCCTACTTAAATATTTAAAATAAAACAGCAAAACAATCATTCTATTTAAATTCCAAATACAAACCCTTTTATTTAAATTATAAACCAATTGAATAAAATAAAGTTGGCAAAATTTTTTAATTTTTAAGCAAACATCGGTGTTTGAAAGAAAAGATAATGAAACCATTTGTTTTTCTGTCAATTTTATGCTAAAAATTTTCACCTTTGTTGATTTTTTCAAACTTTCTGCTGACATGATATCAACCTAAAACAGTTTTAGGTACACAATTTTTGTCTACCTTTTTTTCCTAATTCTGAAGGCTGGTATATATTATCCTTATCTGCTAACCTTTATCTGTTTTTGGTTGGCATTAGGTTGGCACAAAGTTTTTAACACAAAGATTTTACCATAACAACATTAGGACAAGGTTAGCAAAAATTCCGATTTCAGACAGCAAAAGATTTCCTATATAATTCAAAGCTTTATCTAGAAAACCCATCATACTGTTAATCTAGGGCCAGAAACTTTTTTAGATTTTCAGTTTTTGTGTATCTATCTCATCTTAAAACAAGTGTATAATTTTGAAGATATGTTGTTTTAATACAAATAAATATTCTGTTATAAGATTTCATCCACAAGATAGTTCTAAATTCAGAATTTTTTAACAACTGCATTTGCTGGCTTTAAGCAGTATGGTATATCTCAAGTAAACAAATAACACCTTGTCCTTTTTTAAAAAACTGAAGTACATCAAATATACACCTTCATTTTTAAAAATAGTGCTGTAATTAGAAATATCATATGACACTTTAAAATTTAATATTTCTATTGCATTTTCAGACTACTCGCATTACGGTCTGCAATTACAATCCCGAATAAATGCCATTCCTATATTTACTTTAAAAAGCTCATCTAATTCGAATGTCTGAACTAACTTTAAAATCGCCTTTTCAGAAAAGGTGTGCAGTCGGATATCTTATCTGAGCTCTCATACATATTTTGTTTTGACAACTTGACCTTCAGTACTTTTCAATTTTTGATAATTAGCGTGTTTTAAAAATACACTGAGAAAACCAAGAGAAAATTATAAATTAACAAGCCATAAACTGAAAAGAGGAACAAAATTAAACAAAAAGTAATTAAACAAACAAAAGGTAAACCAGAAAAAAATAAAAGCATAAAATTAATGTCTTTTTTTAATTAAAAATTATTTCACTTTATATAATTTAGAAAAGAAGTTTTAAAGTTATTTAATCCTAGCTCAGTTATTTTGAAAATAAATTATTTTTAAGAGTTTAAAACTTTGTTTTTTTTTTTTCAAATTTTTACTAAAGCGAATATATAAAAAAAGATCTGTTAAAAGTATTTGAACCCACATCCAATACAGAACTAACTGTTGCACCTTGTATATATAACAAATCATTCTGTGCTACACTGACATTGTGATGTTTTAAAAATTATGAGCTATAAACTATTGAGACAAATTAAAAACATTTTTAGGTTTGAATTATTGTTTGAGGCGCTTCTAATTAAAAAAATTAAAATAACTTAATGCTTTTATTTTTACTGGTTTATCTTTTATTTGTTTTATTATTTGATAAGATTTTGTTTCTCTTTTCAGTTTATAATTTATTTTTAATTTTCTATGGTTTTTAATTTTCTCTTCAGTTTAGTTTCATTTTTATCACCGCATTTTTAAAACACGCAAATTATCAAAACATGCATTGTGCCATTACATATAATATTTTGTTCAAAATAAAATATTAAATTTAATGTCAGGTTAGGCCTCTGATTGCATGCCTCTGCTTTAAAGGCTTGATTGTATTAGTTTTTGTTTTTGTTTTTTTCAGCAGTTTTTAGAGCTGGCTTTGTAGTCAAAGCAGAATCAACAACTTTACAATGTATTTTTGGATTCTATCTAAAAGAGAGCCTTTTTAAAGAAATTAACTCAAATATGACAACAGCATTCCATACAAGGACAAATAAGAAAGAAAATAACAAGTGCGACATTAGACATTTGTTGATTTGTTTGAATTCAAACATATATGCTTTACCTTATGTTTTTTGGTTGGTTTTTGGATTTTATTGCACGTGTGTTATGAACATCTGTTCTAATTTTATTATTATTAATCCTGACTATGTTTTGCCAAGCATGTTTTAAAGTTGCAAAGTTGCCAATTACCCTTTAAATAAACTGAAAAGTTTATTTAAAGGATTATTGGTAATTATTCGAAATTTGGTCCAAAACTGCTATCAAGCTTACAATTATGCATCAGAAACTGCTATCAAGCATACAATTATGCATATATATATATATATATATATATATATATATATATATATATATATATATATATATATATATATATATATATATATATATATATATATATAATGCTGTTTGATTTTATCAAAATAAGCTGTTATCAAGTTAAGAAACTGCTTATTTATAAAATGCAAGTCAAAAAGAAATACACAAAAGCTCATATTAATTAGATTGTTAATAACTGTTCTTAAGACCTCTCACATATCAAAGTTAATGCTAGTCAACAGTTAGTAACAGTATTTTAGACGTCCAGTAAGAGACAGACTCAATCCATAATATCAGTTACCTACTGTTAAATATGTTAAAGGAAATGTTATGGTTTGTCGTTACATTATAGATCCCATTCACTGCATAAAAGATATTACCTGGAGAGTTTGTTTAGATGTGATGAATGTTGTTTTGGTAAAAATTTCAGCTGATTTAAGAAATTTTGTGAAAAGTTGTTTTCAATTGAAAAAATTATGGTGTTTTTAAACTTTAGCACACTACTGTATGTATTTATTTATAACAAAAAACATTTAAAAAACAAATGTGTGTTATTTATTTTAAAATTGCTCTTATATTGCTTTGTGATGATTGTTTCAAAAAATATGTTGAACAAGAAAAACAGTAATAATGATTAAAATTTTTATTTTGTGAGAGCAAAATATTTTTTTATTTTTATACATAAAATTGATGGGCTAGTTCTAAAATATTGCATGTCCATTTTAGACAGTTGTGAGAAAAACTATTTTAAAAGTTTAAACTCATACAAATTCAAATATTTTAAAACATTATAATTGTTGTTTTATTGTATTTACTTCAACATTTCTGTTTATAATTTTTTCAAATATTTAAATATGTTTTTAAATTTGTAAACGAGTTTAAACTTTTAAAATAGTTTTTTTCACAGCTGTCTAAAATGCACAAAAAATTTATAGGTATAATTTTTTTTATACAATTTAATAAAAAAAAAAAAACAAAAAAACAAAATAAAAATGGTTTTTTTATTTTGTTTTTTTGTTTGTTTTTTTCTTCTCTTTGTTGGAAGGAATATATTCAATATATATAATTTTTGTTACAACATAAAATAGATCTATGCTTTAAATATTATCTTCTATGGATTATGATCAATAAACATAGTTTTTATTTTGACTTAAAATAAACAACAGTTAAACATGTGTCTATTTTTGTTTTATAACTTGATTTCATTTAAATATTTTAGAAAGATGATGATGACATAGACTTATTTGGTAGTGAAGGAAGTGGCGATGAAGAGGTAATTATTTATAGTATTTTTGATTAAGATAAGCAATGTTTATAAATAAAGTAAATAAAGCGCATGTAACTTTTTAGGGTATAAAAGTTACATACTTTAGTACATTTTAATAGAAATTCAAAATTATGTGTATATAGTAACTAATACATTCCTTTTAAAAGTGACTAGTCCAACACAGCATTATTGAATATAAAAAATACTTGTAAAACTATTAAGTAATTAATTTTGTGTGTGTGTTGTGTAGGAAGATGAGGCAGAAAAAAAGCGCAAAGAAGAACTCCTTGCAAAATATAATGCTAAAAAGGCTTCAAAACCAGCTCTAATAGCTAAATCGTCAATTCTGATAGATGTCAAACCTTGGGATGATGAAACAGATATGGCTTTAATGGAACAAAAAGTGAGAAGCATAGAAATGGATGGCTTACTATGGGGTGCATCTAAACTCATTCCTTTAGCATATGGCATTAAAAAACTACAAATTTTGTGTGTTGTTGAAGATGATAAAGTGGGAACTGACATACTAGAAGAAGAAATCACAAAGTTTGACGATTTGGTAAGTCAAAATATACATTTGTATACATATTTATTGTTATTTTGTAATTCTTATAAATTGATTTAGCACCACAAAAAAAAAGGATTAGTACAATAATAATAAATTAGTTTACTTTGTCATATTGTTTAAAAAAAAAAATAGACATACGCGATTATGAAATACAGGTTAAATTTTTTTTCTTTAACCTATTTATTTTTATCTGTTATGATATTCAAAATTAAACTCTTCAGTTTTGATTATCGAAAAGAAAGTAGAAAGAGATAAGTAAAAAAGTTAATTTTTTATTATAACAAAATTATAAGTTCATATTATAATTATAAACATTAACACATGAGTATGAATAGCACAAGTCTTCAGGGTGTTAAACAGGAATGTATCTTTTACCAGGTTTTTATGATATTTGGAATATTAAATATTGTTCTTCTAATTATTGGGAATTTTTATTGATATTGTCCCTTAACTTCAACAAACAAAAACAAAAAAAGGTAATTTTTGGAATTATAAACCCATTGGGAATTATGCGGTATACACAGTGCCATTGTGTTGGCTAACACCCTGGTCTACTGTATAAACGTCTGTATAAAATGGTCTTTTTATCGAGAACTCCTACAAATGTTGTGTAATAAGGCAAAAAAAAGTTTATTAATAGTCAATAACAATGCAACTTTTAATAACATTTAAATAATAGTATTTAAATATAGTCTCACAATATATTTCTCATATTTATGAAATAATAGATAATAAAGTTTAGGTATGAAGAAACTAGGTGTTATTTGAAAGTATATTTTCAATTAAAAGATTATTTTTCTTTTCTTTTGAACAAATAATAATTTTATTCATAAAAAAAAATAAGTTTTCAAAATAATTAAATGATTTCATAAAAATGCTTTATAAAAGAATCTAATAAAATTGTTTTTTTTTAAGTCAATACTTTTTTCTTTTCTTTTAAAGAATGTAAGCTGGAGATAACTTGGTTTCACATTTAAACAAAAAACAAAGAACTTTAAAAAATAATTACTTGATATATTAGGAATGTATATATTAATTATTAGAGGCTTTATACTTGAAAAAAATGAACGAGTCCATGTATCTCTGTTGAGAATAAAGTGGCCTTAATTTACTTTTGCAGGCACTTTCAGCATAATTAATATGACTGTATAAAAGAGATACATGGATGCATAAGTTTCCTATGTTAGTTTTCCCATGATAGATTCTCATTTAAAATACTACCTAAAAAGCTTGTGATACTAGCAACTTTTTTTTTTTTTTTTTTTTTTTTTTTTTTTTTTTTTTGTTATGTTTGAGGGGAGGGGGCTTACTGTTTTTGTTTAGTTTTCAAGAATTTAATGAGATCTTAATTGAACAATGTGATTTGAAACTTTTATTGTTTTTAATTAGTTCATATTTAAGAAAATCTACATATAGTATATCGTCGGGGATAGTGCAAATCCGCGTAACTAGCATTGGCTACTATATTTGGATATTATTAATTTTAACACCAAATATTTATAGTTGAGATTAAAAAAAACATGAATAATACTCTTTTTACTAAAATGAACCCAAAATTAGTTTAAATAAAAATTAAATACAGTTTTAAACTTCTCCTGTAACGCGGTTACGCGGTTTTGCACTATCCCCGACGATATAGTTGATAGAAAGTTTGCAAAAAAGCATTTAATTTATTTGCTTTAAATAAACTGTTTGTATAATTTCAATTATTTTTGGATAATTGATACCTAAACAATGCGAGATTTCATCAGTGAAAAGTGTTTTTAAAAAGACTTTTGTCGTTGTCAAAATTGATAGAAAAAATAACAGCTAAATAAAAAACAGTTCGTCAGCCAAGAACCAAAAGGCCCTATATCCACATTTTGTGTTTATTCTCAATAAATATTCAATAATCAATGTGGTGTGTGTGTCCACTCAATTTAGTTTCAAGAATAATGCAACTTTTAAAATTATCAAGAATATTTGTTGCACAATTTGGCAGGCATTGTTAAGGTCAATTACTTTTAATAAAGCTTATAAAATTTAATTTTAAAATCCTCATGTTAATATAACACAAGATAGTTATCAAATGAAAGAACGAAAATTGGGGAAAATATCAAATATTTCTTGACATTTACTCAAAAATCAGAAATTTAACGGTGTACTAGCAGCTTAAGTTAAATCTATTTAGTTTGAATTTCTGATTTCAAACTGTTTTATGCAGTAGTAGTTGTAGTTGTAGAAGAAGTTTTAAGAGTCTTTAAATACTTATTCATTTAATACTATTAAAAAATAATTTGAGAAGACAGGTTGAGTTCGTTTTAACTAAATTATTCCTACTTTTTCAAAAAAGTGTTTAATATTCGAAAATGTTTAGACATAAATTTGGTTTGACTAGATCTAAATAATTATGTGTTTTATAATAATTTTAAATGAAAAGTAAAATTATTAAATTTAATATCTCTTTGAAATTTTTTTGTATAGATGTGGGAAGGGGGGTTGTTTTTTGTTTGTTTGTTTCTTTCATAGTTTTTATTTAAATTTCAAAGAAATTAACAACAATTTGATAAAATAAATATTTAGAAAACATTTGGCTTTTTAATTATTAAATTGACATTAAATTGACATACATTTTTTTGTTTTCAGGTGCAAAGTGTTGATATCGCATCTTTTAACAAAATTTAATTGGCTCACCACTTTTGCTTCTCTAATAAATATAATTGTCAATGTTATATCTTTACTTTAGTCTAATCCCTTGTTAACGGATTTTCTTATCCGCCGTTCAATTTTTTTTTTTTTTTTAAACAGATCTACCCAGTGGATACAGTTATTAATGCGTTTTAATACGTGTTTTAGATATCTTAAACATGTCTTGTGCCCACTGTGTAGTGCGCGCGATAAATAATTCAGGTATGCATAATGTGTAAAATAATAATATAAATAAAATGATGCTGGAGGCTGCAGCGGTTTTTAAATTTTTTTAAGTTTTGATTATTTTAAATTGATATTTAAATGATTTCATAAGGCTTTTTTTTTTGGACTCTAAACTTGGATCTGTCGTTTAATATCTGAATATTCTCTTAAAGTTTGTTGTTAACAGATATTTAAACTCCTAAGAGTAATACAATTTTTCAAAAAAATTGTAATACTCTTATGAGTTTAAATATCTGGGCAAAATTTTCGGACAAAATTTTATTCAAACTTGTTATTTACTCTAAATTGTTTTACTTCAGGAGATAATTGTTTTTTGCTAAAGGGTTCAAATAAATTTATTACGCGAAAACAAAACAAATATTAGAGCTAATTATAAAAATAAAAATCTGTAAGTAGAAAACATCAGGATTAATAAAATAAATATCGATGCCTTTAGTATATCGCTATTGTATATGGACCGGCGAAGTTGATTTTTAGTCATTAGTGTTCCTCGAATTCGAAGTTATCGTTATTGGCCTCCGCTATAATTAGCCGATCTATATCTTTTTAACAAGTGATTAAGTGGATAATCATTGGCTAGCCACTTAGCGGCCATCATTAATGGTTCACTTTTCCGCATACGCGTAGTTAATTAGAGATTTATAACGTGGTTTGTTTTCTCTTAAAACCATATCTTCCATAGCTCTGATTTAGTGCGATATCATCAGTGTTGTTCCGTGGGTTCAAGTCCTTGATGTAAGAGGTTTGACATTTTTTTAACCTTGCCGTTTATAGCAAAAAAGCGCTACAATTGCTCATTAAAATTATCATTATTTTTTCTAAATCAAGATTAACATTTTTTAAATAACAATCTTGTAATTAACCATTCCTTCAAAACATGATAAAAAACAAGAACAATTTGTCTAAAACAAAATCTAAAATGCAGCAATAATGGGAAACCTAAAGTAGTTTCCTAGCGGCTAGTATTTTTCAATCTCTCTAGTTTTTCATGTTCATTGAAATACACTAACCTTTCAATCTTGGCGTATCTACATTTTTTAATGTTAGATACGAGACTTTTGTTGTAAAGCTGCAGTAAGCCATTAAACCAATAGCAGTTCCTTTTCAATAAAGTTGGATATCGTAAAAGAAAGTAATGAAACCAATTGCTTCCTGTAATTTTTTATCTATATTATGGTCGCTATTTTATTTATATTTTATATCTATATTATGGGCGCTATTTTAAATATAAATGGTCGCTTCAATCCATTACTTTCTGCTAAACTAAATGCCAATTCATGTAATTCAATTTTTATTAACCCGACAAATATTTCTTTAAGTTGCTTAATAAAAACTGGTGGCCAAGGAAAGCTTTAGGTTTTATGTTGTGTCACTCAAGTAAAACCTTTTCTGTTAGAGAGTATTTGTTTTGTAACAAAAGAAAAAGGGATGAAATTGAAGGGTTCTTAGCTAGTTTAAGCATTTTAGATGCACGTAAAAAAAAATTATTCAATAGTGTTTGTTTTATAAAAAGTTGAAAAGAGCGTTTGTAAGTTGGAAAAATTGAAGGGTATAAACCCTTTTAAGCATTTAGATGCATGTTAAAAAAAAAGTGTAAATATACTTTTTAATAATTTAAACAAAATTTACAACAACAAAAACATGTGGAAATATTTACATATTTAATCTATATATGGTCCATAATCCAACAAAATTCAAACATTTTTATTCTATTTTAGAGCAGCATGTAAAAGTAAACACTAAATTAAACCTCTATTCCAATTAAAAGTAACTACAAACTCGTTCTCGATGTTGAGTATAATCTTTTACATGTTTAAATTTAGAATGAAATCTATTTAGCAAACTGTTTTAGGTAGATAGAAAAGAGTCTTATAATACACCTTTACATTTTAGTTTTCTCAACTCAAACCCGGGGGCGGATTTCTTGGTCGTTGAGATAGCTAACTTCCGGACATGGAGCAAACTCCAAACATTTATATGTTTATACCTATGTCAAATAAGGATGCTTTGCAAAAAATTGCAATGATTGGGGCCTGGGAACAAAAAAGCCCTTAAATTTTAGCTAAACCTGCCCCAAACGTTAGAGCTACAAGTTGATAAAATATTTTTTCAAATTGAGGGGGGTTAAAACTTTTTATTGTCATAGTTTTTGAACGCTAAAAGATTTTTGTGTGAATTTTTAAATTTGTCGATAAATATAGGTTTAGTTAAGAATAGTATAAAAATTATTTTATCAACTTGTTGCTCTCACGTTTGGTTCCCAGGCTCGAATCATTGCAATTTTTTGTAAAGCATCTTTATTTGATATAAGTATAAACATATACATTTTTGGAGTTTGCTCTATGTCTGGAAGTTAGGTATCTCAAACATCAAAAAATGCTGCATCCGCCCCTGAAACCTATAGTATAGTGTATAATTGAAAATATTCTTATTTTTGTCAAAACCTTTTCTATGGATTTTGCTTTGAATTTGCTAAATTAAAGTACTCTTCTTATCTATAAAGATTCCTATCATCCAATCATAAGTTTTCTGAATAGTTTAAAGTCAGTTGGCTGAAGAGTGTCAAGACTCCATTCTAAATTTAAACCTACATGGAATAAAAAATTTAACTAGTGTTAATTATTTTTATAAGTTATAATTTACGTTGATATTGCCAGCACTTGCTTAGTAAGTTTCGTTTGATTCTGGCGCAAAATCTGATTTTTTGGAGGTAGTTACGCATAAAAAGTCCCAATTCATGCATCTTTTTACTCCATCTGTTGTATCGTCCACATAGATATATTCATGAAAGATCTTTTATTCATATGCAATAAAACATTATTACTGAAAGCATTATGCCAACATTATGCCAGAAAATTATTACTGAAAGACTTGATAAAAATGATAAGGAAAATATTTTAAGCTCAAATAAAATAATCAATATTACAAAAGAGCTTGAAATAACAAACAAAAACGATACGTTGTTGTTAACAGGATGCAGTGAAATATAGAAATTCATTCATGCAAACGATGAAATTGTCTCAGGTAAGCTAAAACTAGTAAAGAGAAAAACAAAATAAATTAATATCAAGATAAAAAATAATAGCGAAGTTCAAAAAATAAGCTTTAACAAATTGAAGATCGATCAAGGAGGAATAATTTGAGAGTTGATGCATGAAGAAAGTGAGAATAAAAATTGGAATGAAAGTGAATTCAAAGTGCTAAAGCTTTTTGAAGATACACTTGGATTAAAAAACGTTAAAATTGAACGAGCCCATAGGACGGGGATTAGAGACCCTCAAAAGATTCAATCAATGGTGATAAAATTATTAGATTATAAAGACAAAGTTGCTATTCTAAAAAATTCCCCAAGATTAAAAGGAAAAAAAACATCTTCATAAATGAAGATTACTGCGCGAAAACGATGTTAATAGCGAGAGATCGACAGAAAAAGGAACGAGAGCTTGGGAAATTTGCAATAATATCTTATGATAAGCTAATTGTTTGTGAGTGGATTTCGAAGGACCTTTTTTTGTTTTTTAGTCATTTTTTCAGTTAAACTTTTTAAAATTATTTATTTGAAAATTTATAGGGGGGGGGGGGGGGAGAAAGGCCCCTGCTTCCCCTCCGTCCCCTTTGCAACGGGCCTGCAACCTACTGGAACAAGTAGTATAATGAAAAAATAACATCAACTGAAAAACTCGGAAAAAGAGGGGTGCACAAAAATTCTTTTTTTCTGTTAAAGTAATTTGAAGAAGATCAATGTTTTATAAATTATCATAAATCCCTACATAACATTCGTTGAATGCGTAATGGGTTTAGCAAGCGTTTAGTTTGCAACGTTTTGAAATTACAAATTGATTTCTAAGTCAAAATATGATTACAGTGTGTTAAAGACAAAATAATAAAGTCTTGATGAATAATATAAAAATACTTGTAAAAAGATTTCTGTATCTACATAAAACGTAAAAAATTATTAGGATTAAGAAAAGTCACATTCTCTTAAAATAAATCTTATGGATTTAAATGACATCATGTTTCTTAAAATACTGAAAGTATAAGAACATTTATTTTTAACTTCTAACATTAAATGAACCATCTAAAATTGGAATGAACAACCCGAACATCTATAAATCATCCAAATTATTAAATTTAAGGCATTTTTTGTCAGATTTTATTGTTTTAAAATAAATACGTATTAACAAAAATCAAATAAAAATATATCTTAATCCATATTCAAACTGTTTTTCCTATTTTTTAATCTCCAACTGTATGGAACCATCAACACTGGAGTAGATGAGTTCTTCAAGACATAGTTACAAGTTTTTCCAATAAACTCAGAGCCTATGCGTTTTTGACCAATAACCAAAAGATTAGCTTCATTTTCTTTAGAAATGTCACAAATCATTTGACCTGGTGCTTTTATATCATCTTCTAAAACGCATTTATATTTTACATTATTCTTTATGCATTCTGCTGCATATTTGGACATCAAGTTTTTGCTTTTTTTAATGCTATATTCCAATGTCGTTTGTAATATTTCTGAATGTTCTAATTTTGTGTACATTAAACCAAATGCACCAGTGTGCGGAATCTGATGTATGTGAATGAGAACTAAGGTGTCTTCAGGCTTATGATAATTTTTAATGTACCACTGAAAAGCATATTGACTCGACTCACTGTCATCAATTGCGACACAATTAGTTCTGCCTATGTTTTTGTTCGCAGATAATTTTGCCATCATTTATATCTAAGTATAATAAAAAAAAAAACTCATAAAAAACTAATACACAAATAAAAAGGATCGTTTTAATTAAATTTAGTTAGTTTGAACAAGTAAAAAAGTTTTAAAAAGAATAAAATATAATATAAAATTTTCCAATAATAGAATTAATTATCAAGTATTAAGAAATGAATAATGCTTTTTAGTTGTTAACCATAAATTGGTTAACAACTAAAAAGAACTTGATCATTCCAAAGCTGCAATGAAGTACTCTTTTTTAGAACGTAATTCTGCGTTCATCGTTTACTATTCACCAGCTTTGTTCGCGCAAAACTTTCAAAACTGGTGCAAATTGCGTCATTAGCTAAAAAATTGCTATTTAAAACGCAAAACCAATTTGAATAAAAAAAAACGCAAAACCAATTAAAATAAAAAATTGTTTAATAAGTACCTAACTTGGCTTTGAGTATAATCTTTATAACTATTAGCTTCACACGGGTTAGTAAAAGTGAAAACTTATAAAGAACTCGTGTTTTTATTTTCTTCGACAAACAATTCATATAAGTATTAGCATTTAGTTATATTTAAATACAAACCTTAAATCTTCTGAAGTATCTTGTTTCAGTAATAAAATTAATGACATGAAAACTATAAATAACCTGGGTTGAGATAACTGAAAGCCCAGGACCAAAAATAGAAAAGACTAAACAAGAGCGCCTTTATCTTGTTATTATGGTGTAACAGAAAAAAAATGTGTAAAAATAATAAATAACATTGTAATAATGTATATAGGCATATATTGCATAGAAAAAAAATTTAATTAGCCATAACTATGAATAAAAGAACGTTACTAAAATTTTTTACCATATTTTAGAAGCGCAAGCCTCAAAAATATTCTTCAAAATACACTATTTATCACAAATAATAATCGTGCTTACATTTTTTAACTTTGAGACAAACAAATCGATCTAATACTTGCAATCTATGCTAGAAGATGTCTTTTTTTTTTCATTACAAATTATACAGGTTTGATAATAGTGCTGACAATGCAAATTTTGTCTCCCAAATTTTAAAAACTCTTATTAACAGATTTGTTTTGCTTTTTTTTTTTTTTTTAAAGAAAATTAAACTTTAAACGCGCTTTGGTAAATCCCAAAACTTTCATTTGAAAAAATTCTTGAGCGTTTGTGGTTTGACTACATAAATCTGCGTATTTGTGGCTTAATATAAGAAGCGTTAAATAATGTTTATACGTAGGCATTTAAATTTTACGTGCCAGAAAGAACGTATTGGTAAAAACACTGGCTATGTAATTAAATTAGGTTTTTAAAAATTACTTTTTTTACCAATCAACTTAAACTATATTCTTAACCAACTTAAGTACTATATTTAAGCTATTAAAAAATTTAAGTAAAAAAATTAAGGGTAATTTAAATTTCAATTAAAGTATTAGTTTCAAATGGCTTTTTTATTTTTTGCATCCAGGCTGCTGATTTTTTAACTTTTATTGTTTTTTCTTTTAAACAAATATATTTACTTATTTACTGAAACCAACATTAAACAAAACAATGTTTTTAATTTATAAACGATTAGTTTTGTTGCGTTTTAAAATGGTGTTTAAACAGCTTCTTTTTTAATTAGCTTTTCAAAAGAAGTACAAAGTCATATAAATAAACTTGCAAATTTAGACCACCTGAAAAGCAGTTTTATTAAAACAAAATATCGCAAAATATAGCAAAATCATAAAAAATAACATAATAGGTGTTTTTTCCTTTGCCACTTATCTATAGTATCGACTTAATACTCTATTATAACATTTACAGATGTGAGCTTTATTATTTTGATCTTTTTGTCGCAGTCAAATATATATATTTATATATATATATATATATATATATTTATATATATATATATATATATATATATATATATATATATATATATATATATATATATATATATATATATATTATATATATATATATATATATATATATATATATATATATATATATATATATATTCCTGGGAAATAACCATGGTCTGTAAAAAGTGTTGAAAGTTAATTTCAACAGATTTTAATAAAAACCATTTTCTCTTTTCCAACAAATAAAAATAGTTTATCAATTAACTCTGATCTTTTTCCAGTTGTATTTATAATATAATAATTATATTATATAATAAATACAATTATAATATAATATTATTATGTAACTTTTAAAGTTTGACCTTGATGTCATATGTTGTGAAGAAAGCCTAGGCGGTCTTGTAGAAGATACAAGAGTCTGTGGGAAAAAATACTAGCATGCTTACACTTTAATACCTTCTCTGCGCTACTCATTACGCTACGCTAATCATCATTATTTAGTCGGTGCATTTTTATTTTTATTATTATTTGGTTATTAAGGTACATTAAGAAAATCTAACGATTTTGTCACAGAGCACGACGGAAGAGCTTTTAACCAGAAAGTTTTTGTCGCCTTTTTTTTTTTTTACCGTTGACGCAAATATGGTCAGAGAATATATATTTATGACTTTCAAGCGAGCGCTTTAATTACTGCGCCACGGCCGCATGAACTTTCATTTCCGTGTTTATAAACAATAAATGACCCGCGTTTGACCAAGTGATTTACAAACCTTTTCTGCGATTCAGACAGTAATTCTTACGCAGTTTTTGTGCCATTAAATTATATAATTAGTTACTATTACATACATATGTTTTAAAAATTATGACGTTGTTTATACTTCATATTGTTTGTTTATATTTTGAAAAATGTTAAGTGATGATACTTTGTCACAAGTTAATTTTTGTATGAAACATAATTATCATATAAAGAAAGTAATCAGACCATCAGATTATTTAAGTAAGTGATCAAAAAACATCATCAACTTATAAAAAAGGAAATAATTATCTAAAAATTAACGTGTTTATAGAAGTAATTTATTAATAAGGGTTAAAAAAATATATAATAGCTCATCTAAAAAATGCGAGAACTTAGCTTACAATGGTCTAATAAAAAGGATTGTATTTAAAGACAAAAACCTGATTAAAAGTTATTATTTTTTTAACCAAGTACTTTGAAATTAGCTAGGTGTGCCGGTTGTTGATACAACAACTCTCATTGGATACAATTTATTGGGTTTATGAGCGTTGATAAGACCATATAAACGAGGTGGTACGGGATCACTAGAGTATATGCTATCATATTCTGCTTTTCAAACCGTTGTTTTTTATTAAGTTGCGATAGGAACGACCTTATTTTAGCTGCATAACTAGGAGTAGGATCTCTATTAATAATTTTAGTTGTGCCAAATTGTTCGCGAATTTTTCAATAACTCTATCGTGTTCTATACTTACGAAACCGGTATCTTTATCAAACAAATATGTATCAATGTAATTATTTTCTTTAATTTCTTTAAATGCCTTTCTTTGATCTATTGTTAGATTATGATTCACTTCATAAATTTATTTTCAGCTCTCTTACAACATTTTTTCTTAAATCCTGTGCATTTTCTATTTTGTTATATTATATTTATTGGTGAAACAAAATTACAAATCAGAACAAGATCTCAACAACACCAAAAATGTTTGATGGAAGATAAGTATTATCAGTCGGCTATAGCTCTTCATAAAAAAAACTGGAGAGAAGAAATTAATTGGGATAATGTTAAAACATTTAAAGAAGAATATAATAAGTTTGATAGGAAAGTTCGTGAAGCATTAGAGATTCAAAAACATCAATGCTCTCCACTTTATGGTGGAATAAACTTGGATAACGGATAATACGTTAAAACAAAGTTTTGGACTCAATTTTTTGCATTACTACGTCAAAGAAGCCGTTCTAACGCTGACGTCAAAGTTTAATTTTTGTAATTTATTATAACGGTTATAATTTTAATTTGTAATTACGATATTATAGCTGATGATGCTGGTAACTATAACCCAGCAAAAATTTCAAACAAATTAAAAATAGTATTGAGAGAACTCGTATTAATTGATATTTTTGTTCTTTTTAACATATATATATGTATATATATATATATATATATATATATATATATATATATATATATATATATATATATATATATATATATATATATATATATATATATATATATATATATATATATATATATATATATATATATATATATATATATATAGATAGATAGATAGATAGATAGATAGATAGATAGATAGATAGATAGATAGATGGGTAGATAGATAAATAGATAGATATACAGATTAGGGATCGCCGAGTACAGTAAACGGTACTAACTTTACAGTATACTTTACCGTATACTTGGTATACTAAAAGTTAGTATACAGTTTAGTATATCCATTTACTTTTTTTGAGCATTTTTTTTTGGACTAACTTGATAATTTAATAATTTATTATTTAATTATTATTTTATTATTACTATTATAATTAATAATATTTTTATACTACATATATTGTATTATGGTTAAAGTGTTTTTATTTTTAATTGGTTCTTTTAATGTAGCAAGATAACAATCCATTATCAAGTGGTTGCTGATTTTGATCAAGACTTGAACTTTTTTGTTTATCCAGTGAGATTGTTTATCCAGTGAGATTGTGTAACCAGTGAGATTGCGTAACCAATCGTTAACAGTATAATAAAACACACAGGCAAAAACATTAAATAAAAACAAACACATTTGTTTTAAGGCCGTTTTCCACAAGACGAAAAATTCGCGCGAAGCGAATATTTTCGTCGTTAAGCATGCGCAGATTAAACATTTTTGGCGATTATACTGATTTTTTTTCGCTACAGCGTTTCGCTGCAGCGAAAAAAAAAGTCGGATTCATTTCGACTTTTTGCGAATCGCCATAAGCGAAAACCAATGAAATTTTGAATATTATATCACGTGATGTCAACATCGAAAACATGTTGTTTTTAAAGTAACAAAAAACAAAATTCTTAACCTGGCGTTCTTATTAATTTTATATGAACTTACTCTGAAAATTGGCTAGCATGAGTAAATTTATCAAACAAGGGGCAAGACTTACATAAAAAAATGACCAGACTTATATATAAAACTAAATCGAAAATTTACAAATATAAATTTTCACACTGTCAATTACGAAAGTTACACTTCATAAGAATGTTTATCTTCAAGTGGCCACACAAAGATAAACTTTTTTGTGAAAAATTCTTTATAGAGTTAAACCTGCTGTTCGTTCTTGCAGTAATAGTTTTTAATAGAAATGTTCATATCAGAGTTTAGCATTTATTTTCTTATACTTTCTTGTAAAAAAAAACCTTATATTAAACGATTGTATTACAAAATAATATCACATCTTACATATAAAAGCAGAAATGTTAATATTAATGCACGGTAAGAAATTTTCACATGCTTCAAAGTAGAAGTATGCTAAAAAAGTATTAACTGCTTTAAGTTAAACATACAGCGTAAACTTACTGCTGCGATTTTTATTGTTGACAACGAAAAAAAAGTAGCGCGAAAGAAAGTAAAACAGCGTTTCGTCGTAGCGAAAAAATTCGCTTCGCGCGAATTTTTCGTCTTGTGGAAAACGGCCTTTACGTAAACCGCTAAAGCATTTTTACAATTTTGCATAACGATTTCGCAAAAAAAATATTTTTTGTTTACAAAATGTGTTAAATAAACATATATACAATAGTATAGAAATATATTAAGTAAAAATTTATGCACCATGCAAGTTTCGATATGTTAATTTTGTTCCTACAGTAATTTTTAAAGTGGATTTCTACTTACACGAAAGTTTCCGCGGAACGGAAAAGGAAAGAAAATCATCCAATCATGTAACAAAAAAATTTAAGATTTTTTTGCTACATAATTGCATTGGCGCAATTTTTATCTTTCACGGAAAATTTCTTGTAAATGGAAATCCGCCATAAGTTTTACATAGCTTAACAAGTCCGTCGGACGTCTTAAGGATGTCTGGACATATAGAAGACGTCTTACGGACAACCTCCGAATGATGCGTGTCCACTGTGGTTAAGCTCATTTGACGTTGTACACGCATTATCATGTCATGTCAATCATTAGTTTTTTCTTGCTTTGTGTTAACAATATGCATGAGTTAACAAATGTTTTGCCAGATTTATAGACAACATAAGATAGACTTACGAAGACATCAAGCCCGAAGCCAAGCGAAAAAGTGAAGTTATTATTTTGTGATGCTATGCAGCGCGTAGAATA